GGCTGCAACGGATCTGATACAGATTTGAAAATAGTGTGACGTCAGTGACGAGGAGCTCCGCCTATATGGGCAACTCTCCACCAATCAGGGGAATGAGAGGTTGCCGTGGCATGGTAACAGCATGGTAACAGCATGGTAACAGCATGGTAACAGCATGGTAACAGCATGGTAACAGCATGGTAACAGCATGGTAACAGCATGGTAACAGCATGGTAACAGCATGGTAACATGAGGCTCGTAACTCGCCCCCCCCGGGTGGAGGAGAGGAAAATAGAGCAAAATGAGGCATGGCTAAAATGCATGATCTGTTTGGTATTTTGGAAAAAAAACATATAAATATACCTTATATAGGTATGGCCCTACAATATATTATTCAAATATAGCATGATATGTCTCCTTTAATGAAGGAGTTTGAAATTCTGCATATGGCGCTATACGTTATTTCACAGATGGAGACCATTCTTGCAAAATCCAAATGAAGCTGAAGTATTAAAAGTATCACTTCCAGAAAGATGACACCCAACACATCTAAAAGCTTTCATTAATTCAAGGGGTATAACTCTTTGCTCATAAATTCAAAAATACCGGCATCTCTTTGTATGAAAATTACAAAAATGTGCACGGTTCATGCATGGACTTGTAAAATGAACCAAACTTTAAAAAACTACATAAATGTGTCTGAATACACTCTAAAGGTCAGTCCAAACGTAGACCGAACATCAATCGCTTTTTCCAACTGTTTCTTCCTTTCCCTTTCCCCCCCTCCTGCTGCCTCCAGGCCAATTGTAATTCATCAGGCGGTGGCGTCCAGAGGAAATGTGTAACGGATGAGTGAGGATAAGAGTTGAATCCATCAAACCCCTTCCACTCCCACCTCACAGCTGACTAGACAACTTCTCCCTGAGATTACAAACTCCTGGGGGGGGTCCAACGCGTACGCTTCTCGATTCAACACACCCACAGGCTTCTGTTGGAAAGACAAGTCCAACCCTCAAAAGACAACTTTAATTTCACATATTTACTACCAAGCTTGTCTAGCCGTGTGTTTAGTATCCTGCAGTGGAATGAGTCAGACTAAATCCAGTCCCAGTGTGACTTCCATCTCTGCTCCTGAGCACCTGAATAAATTAGCAAAAGACAATATACAGTATATGTACATCAGAAACTACACCGTGGAGGAGTACTCTTTGCTTTCGGCTTTAAAGGGGCAAACCATTAACTTTACAAAAAGGATCAGTCTACTTCTCATATAACTGTAGTAGCCTGTAGTAAACTTTGTGCTTATTTCCCATATAGCTACTGTAAATAAGCAAAGACAGAAACTGACTGGACAATCCATGCTATTTTTATAAATATACAAAAGCTAGCCTTAACTCCCACCGAAACCAATAAAGCACTCTTGTATGTGTTAGTCTCACATTCTTTTTATAGAAATATATGAGTACGAATGTGACCAAGCCCTTCCATCCTATTTTCCATCTGCCCTACCTCTTCTCTTCTTTACGTACACTCTCCTTAAGTCAGATAATTAGTGAGCAAACCGGATAAGTAGCTTCCTCTGCTATCCTTTCAATACAGAACCATTGTGTATAAGTCAGGGTTATAAAATAACAATTGCTGGATACCCTGAAGTCAGTACGAAAGTCAGATCCTAAACAAGATATTTAATAACAAAGTAACTTCCCACTCAAGGAAATGCTATCATTATGCAACATGATCTCCTCTTGTTACATTGTGCTGCTTTGGCAGAAGCCCCAGCCATTATTATTATTATGAAGCTGATGGGTTCCGCAAAATCAGTCTTTTACAATTTATCCTGAAGCAGAACACTTTACAGTTGTTAAGTCAACTGGTTAGGAGAAGAAGAAAAAAATGCTCAAATGAGCTATGGATAGAGTGACATTAGTAATAATTATTTCGCTTTTGATTTTAAATTAGACATTTACGGCCTGTGTTTTGTTTGATCCATCCACCTTCACCCCTTGCCTGTAACAAACTTAAAAAATATAATGTCTATTGATTTGATCTAATAATGACACTGATGTGTTTAGATAGGAGTTACTTGAAAACCCTGGTTCATCTCATACAGATACTAAAGAGTGCTTGAGCGACTTTATCAAGATGACTTGATAAGATGAGGTTGATTGATTACGCCCTGGGAGTGAAAAAAGGTTGTCATGCTATCTCTGTATTCAATCAAATGTTAATTGACTGATGGCAAAGGTTTCAAGAAGCCCTTGCCTTTCTGCAGTTCAGATTACTCAGAAAAACTGCTGATATTCCGTGGAAACTGTTGATTTATTACGTATTGCATAAACTTAATGGAGGTGTTCCTTCAGCTGGAAGATCTTCTTGTTTACGGTAGCTTTAAACAATATTGAGAACGATTGCCAAGCCAACAGAGTGTGTAAGAATGTGACTAAACAGAACACCATGTTCACCAATGGGCAGTTTTTCCATTTGCACAAATTCAGATGAAGATGTGTCCACTAAACCCTTGAGTGAACCTGCAAACACTTGCCATTCAGTGAGAAATGTGTTTCAATCCCTGTTTGCACTCGAAGCTGAGCACAGTTGTATGGTTTAAACATTACACAGGGAGAGCTTTGTGTCAAACACTTCACAGATGCACCCTAAGCCTGCTGTGTCAGGGATTGCACATTTTTGCTTACGAATGTGTCATTGTCAACTCTACACACCCCAAGGCAATCCCATCAAACCGACACAAAGGCCAGACGTCCTCCAAGGTGTGTCAATACAGCAAAGCGCGTCAAAAACCTCAGACATGCTTTGTACTGATCTTTAATGGTGGCGAGATTAAAGACACTGTGGCAGAGATCTAACTGTTATATCCCGGTAAACAGACACAAGAGGCTGCTCATCTACTGTAAACCTGACAGAGCTGAAGCAAAGCCTAAATAACCAGTGTTAGCACCTGGTGTGTATGTGCATGTGTGTTTGCTGAACCTGTAAATCAGGACAGGTTTGCACACGCAAGCCAGTGAGCTTTTCAGACTTCTTATTGAAGGAGGAAATCTTGGAGGAGAATAAAAGGAATTAAAGAAAAGCACTGAAACAAAAAGGACAGATTTATCCTCAACAATGGGGATGATTTTTTGCCACGTTTTCTAATTAGCCAGCTAAACATAGGTACTGACCTTGTCTTTTACATAGAGCTGAAAAATAACAACATGCAGATTCTGTTTATTGCTAGTGGCATTTTCCTGGGATTTTGCCAAGGAAGTATGGAAGGCTTATGCTTACAGGTCAAACACCACTTTTTCATTATAAACATTTTAAAGGCAAACAAGAGAACAAGGTGAAGTTTAAAAAAGGGCACATACCACACTGCTAAACTGTCAGTCAACACCACACAAAGCACAAACCAGTGCACAACTATTGTGGTGGTCGACTGTGATGTCCCTCCGCCTCCATGAGACTCAAAAGACACTCAAAAGACACACACAATTCAGATTTGACACCTAATCCTGCAAATCTTATAAATACAGTATAAAAAGTCTGGTAATTATCATGTCTGCTCTAGAAAGAAATTTAATTCCGGTGTTGTGAAAATCAAAAACATTGTTCGCAAAAGCAACTTGAAACAAATTATAGACAGGATTTTTCTAAACTCCTGCCAAAATACAAAATACACAAAGGAGTTGTGTGTTTATCTTTTAGAGCAATGTAGGATTTTAACCACAGCAGGATGAGATTGCAATTGTACACCTTAGATTTCTCAGGAAAACAAGATGAGTAAAACTGCTGGCTTTTTTTTATCATGCCGTACTGTTTTACCAACACAATAGCCAAAGGCAGATGTGATTGCAGCATAACAGATATGAGAAGTGAGATTCTGCCGAGCTGTAATCAGTTCCAACATGCTTTCCCCACATGCTGTATTTGATTAGCTATTCCTCTACATCCACACAGTATATTCAGACATCCTCCTGCTCTGTCTGTCAGCCTGGGACTGTTTTGACTGATCTGCAGGCACATGCTCCTTGTAAACATGAGCAGCTGGCTACTATAGTAAATCCCTACATGGTGCTTTGGCAGTGGATGGACATGATCAATCAATATAATCCACTTAACCTCGATGGACGCAGATGACTTCAAGGTTAAACAACCGGATCTGCTGAATGAATTGCCACTGATAAGCCAGTTGGTGATATTAAAACTGTTTCCATTAGCCGTGCCATTAGACTTAGAGCATTAAGATGTGAGCAGCTAAACCAATCGGGCATTTAGTGTGTATTTTCCATGGGTGTGTGTCTTGTAAATTATTATTTAAATGGCGTTTCCTGTACCCCCTTGTGCGGGAAGCAGGTGGACTTATCTGCGTCCAGCGGGCCACTTTACAGTATCTCTGAACGTAAGCGGATGCACATTAATAGGCAGGAAAGGATTGAGGTAGCAGAAAACCAAAACACAATGCAGCCAGGATTTGATGCCGGTAAATACTGTAAAGTCATTATGTCGCCAGAAACGACCCCCGCTAATTGCTGCTTTATAGCTTTAAGGAATTCTTCAAAGACCCACACAGTTCCACCGTGCCAAGCTGTCCACTTCCCAATGACGCACGACGGGCGCGCGGAGATGGAGGTAAAGGGTCCCCGCGGACAGACAATCAGGGTTTTCTCTTTTACTTTGAAACTTGATTGTTCAGTGAGTCTCTAAACGGCCATCTTGTTACGTCTAAAGATCACTGTTGGAATGTGAAAAAAACACAAGCAAACTTTTGGAAAACCCTGATGCCAAAAAAAACAAGCCCAACAGATAAGTTCGTTTCATAGAAAATATGTAGTTCTTCTAATCTGTTGGTATATTTATGTGGACGCAAGACAAGGCATCGAAACAATGTGTTATTGGTACAAAACTGCCAATAAACTATATGTACATACACCTGAATACATCACACTAGATTGTATTATCATTAGGAATATAGTGTGGAACAACAACTCCTCGGTTAACACACTCACACTTAACCGGGGTCTCACCTGAAGCTGCGAGTCCAGACAGGACGGTGAGCAAACAGAGCCCTTTTACGCACATTGGATGGACGGCAGGCTGTCCGATGACAACGAGACCGCAAGTCAACAAACCCACTGAGACTCCTCCGCCGACTTAATGCCTGGAAACCCGGTGGATAAGTCTGTGGATCTCCTTAAGAGAGGGATAACAACGTGTAGTTACACAGTGTCCTCTCCTCCACCTATTATCTCCAAAGACGCGTCCCAACTCGCCGCTGCGCTCATACATCTCATTTCAGGACCCTCCCACCACATTTTCGGGCGGAGTAACAAAGTCATTCACTTTCCTCTCTACCATATTATCTCTCTCTCTCTCTCTCTGACTCTGACACACACACACACACACACACACACACACACACACACACACACACACACACACACACACACACACACACACACACACACACACACCACACACACACACACACACACACACACGTTATACTTAAGACCCGCACATTCTTGACTGTCACCAAACCTGTTCTGCTGCTGCGTAAAAGCCGTAACGTTCCATACCACATCTATTGCGTTAACACATTCGTATTATAGAGAATCTAAAACATCCAATGTATCATCTCATATTCTGTAAGTAAGACATTTGAGGCATTGAATGAGGCATTGAATTCCTCTTGATAATAATAATGTCATATAATATAATTACATATTATAACTTAAATGTGTATAGGATGATTGGGATCACATTGAACTCATTACAATTATTATCTAATCGTCAAATTCAATTACAAAGTCAGTTAATTAAATCTATTGAATTTGTCAGAGATCCAATAGGTTATAGGGAAATTCCACTTAAGCAGTTGTAAAAAAATTGATGAAATAACACAGTGGAGGGTTTTGTCCACGTGTAAAACAAAAGAAAGAAGACTGGTTGGACTGCCTTCACTGTGAAACAAACAGTGATAACTTCATTTCAGAAGTTATTCTCCCTCCTGGAAACTAGCAGAAAGTTGGACAGAAGTTTTAATACCAACTGGCTTGTTATTTTTTTGAACCACATGGGGGCAGAGCTGCACTTTGATGTCTGTGATTTTACCCTGAAGCCTGTCAAGAAGATCAGAACCCACTCAGTTCTTAACGGCAAGTGACTGTAGATTAACAGTGCATACAATTGCAATAAAGTACATTTATTGTTAAGTTAACTCCACACGTTTTTGATAGTCAAACAAAAAAAGTCTCAAATGTTTAATGCCACAATTGTGACCTGCAAATATTTGACATTTTTTAACTGCTACATATCAACTTTATAATTTGCAAATAGGGTCATGAAGTTTGATATAAAATACAAATTAAGATCTGAGATAAAACCAAGAGTATTGTATATTATTTAACAGTTAGTAATTGGCATTAAAAAAATAAAAGTCTGACTGTATACATTACTCAGTAAAGCTCATGATTAAGAGACAATCAGAAATAAAATATATAGTTTATTTCCATACAACATGCTCATTAAGTTTGACTTCATTTTGAAGTCCCAACATGAATTCATCTTGAAAAAACACTTCCTGTGTGTGTGTGTGTGTGTGTGTGTGTGTGTGTGTGTGTGTGTGTGTGTGTGTGTGTGTGTGTGTGTGTGTGTGTGTGTGTGTGTGTGTGTGTGTGTGTGTGTGTGTGTGTGTGTGTGTGTGTGTGTGTGTGTGTGTGTGTGTGTGTGTGTGTGTGTGTGAGAGCGAGAGCGAGAGGGAGAGATAGAGAGACAGCGACAGAACAAGTAGAAGACGGAGGGTGAACAACCAAGTCTACTTTTGTATAATCTTTTTGGTCTTATTGCATGAGAATCTAGATGCTTCGTATATATTGTAGCGGATACGTCAACAAATCTGACCAATAGAGTAGAAACTCTAGAAACAATCCAAAAAAAACAGAGGTTGTGTGAAGAAGACGAGCAGCATGTATGTTCGGGCCGCACTTGCAGTCCTCCTCCTGTTCATAGCTACCGTTGAGGCTGATGAAGGTAAATATCAGTTTATTTTATTTAATATTTCAAAGTTATAAAGTTTAAATATATTGGTCTGCATTTCGGAACAACAGACATTCTGACAATAAATATGACGGTTAAGAGCAACTTCTGCAATTTCCTGTATTTCCTTAACTGCTGCTACTTTTCTTTGTTTTACATCCTACTTCTTTCTTTCTGATGATTTGATTGACTTTTGTTGTTATGTATTATGCTCCTTCGTTGCCTGTTTTGCTTATTTGTGTCCTTTTTGTGTGGGCTGTTATTTAGGACATTTCAAGCTTTTTATAAAACATTAGCAGGATTTAATGCACACTAAAAGACCAAATTCTTCATATTTATATAATGTGAGTTGAGTAGAAGCCAACCTCAGCTCTCTGATAATAATCATTTCACCCTGAAAACAAATGAGGAAGAAGGGTCCAGATGAAATGAGAAAAAAACTAAAGCAAGTGCACTGAAGTCAACTTAATATCTGTGTCTGTGTTTTAAGGAGGAGTAACATTCTGGAGAGAAGAATTCACAATGACCTGTCCGGAAGGAGAGAGTATTTACAAAGGAAACGTAAAGGATCCACCAAAGGAAGGAGATATACAGCTTAAGACACTCAAGTATAGTGATACATCCAAAGGCTTATACCACTGCAAAGGTGGAAAATATTATTTCTACGTGAGGGGAAAGAGTGAGTGAAACAAAATTAAAAATAAAAATGTCTCATGATGTGCCATCCGTGTTAGTTGTCTTTAATGCTGCTCTTTGTCCTCTAGCTTGTACAAACTGCTTTGAGGTGGACGCAACTCTGTTTGGGCTGGCCATTGCTGCGGACGTGGTGGGGACGTTAATTGTGATGATCATTATCTACAGGTGCACCAAGAAGAAAAGCTCAGCTGGACCCCCTCAAACGTCCAAAGGTAAAAATCCATCCAAGCATGCATTCATTACTTCAGTTAATGGTTAGCTGATGTCCCTCGGACTTAAGCTTTAATCATGCATCTGAGTGTTGATTTTTCAGTAAGACCTATCTGCACTGAGAAATAGGATTAAAGACTATACATGTAGCTACAATGCAAATCTTATTTCAGTTATTATAAGCATAGTGTAAAATCTGGTGTCGGTTTCCCTCACTTCCTCATAAAGCATACTTTGTCTGTAAGCATGCACAATCGACTATAGAGAATTCATTTGAGGTGTGTACTGGGTCTGATAGCACAAGTGATTTTAAATGTATTTATTTCTGTCCTCCTCGTATAGCACCTGCTCGTACAGGAGGCCGGGCTCCAGCTGTCCCATCTCCTGACTATGAGGTACGTTTTGTATTTGCACTCGATTTTGAGATGCATTTTACTTGTGCATTTAACATTTGCGTCTTCTCTAGAGGGACAACAAATTATCACAGCCAAAGTCTTCAATGTTTTAATAATACATACAAATATGACGTCAGACAGTGTCCAGTGTCATTGCAAAAGAAACATTGAAAAATAAATTAGAGTTTATTTTACAGAGCATTATTTTTAATCCTTTCATTTTGAAAAATATTAAAGAATAGATAATAGGGTGCTATGGGTGGTTAGCGTAGCTTAGCATAAAGAGTCAGAGCAGGGAATCAACTAGCCTACCAGCACCTGTAAAGCTAACAGAATATTTCCTTTGTTTAATCTGTACAAAAATGAAGTCTAAAAACGCAACAATGTGGCTTTTATAATAGTCCAGGAAGTCACAATTCAGGCCAAGAAATTGTCCGGCAGGTAACCCTTCGGAACATCGTAAGTGAATATACTGAACAAAATTGAAAATGTATTTATTTTTAGTTTACTATTGTCCCTGGAAGCCATGTGTTACTGGTTATCAGTTTTCTTCTGCATTGTGATCCTACCATCCTAAATCAAAAGTGTTTTACACATTATTAGGAATATCATGACCCTGTGATCGAGCTAACGCTGGTTATGTTGTGTTTTGCAGCCTCTGAACCCTCAAACTCGCTCCGACGACCATTACTCTATGGTGAACCGGATGGGATAGAGACAGGTCACCTGACTGCGGCAGGTTGAGGCAGACATTCACAAAAGACATGCATGAACATCTGTCATGCTACGGAAGCCGGCAAACGCTGGTTATCGCTCTCCTGGATTCAAGGGGTCGCTGAACCCAAATCATAGCCAGATATATTCCCACTTACTCCCAGTATTGCATAGCCAGTCACTGTAATATGTCCAGGTGTTCTGCCCCATCATGATACAGGTGAAAATAATTTAACTTGTTGTATTCACAGTTTGTAAAAAGGTAGGCAGAAAAATACGTCCTGGTACGTCTTTCTTTATATATGTTACCTTATATGATCAATTACCAACCAAAAATGTAAAATAAAAATGAATTTATGAAATAATAATAGGATATTACCGAAATGTAAACACAAAAAGAGTTTAACAAATGTTTTTTGATGCTACTCTTCCATGTATTTATTGTCATAATAATCCATGAACTCTTCTAACTGTCTTGTTGTCACCAAGTGTGACTATTGAGAGTGCATGAGTAAAATGTGAGTTTAAATGCAGACTTGACTGACTACTAAACAAAAAAAGGCATAAAACATAAGCATCAACCTTGTACACTTTGTAAATACTACTAAATCAATCAAACGTAATACTACTGAAAAGTCTTCATGTCTATCCCCTACGTCTAAAGCAATTGAATGAAGGGTCACTTGAGTAAATGTTTTGGATTTTGGTTATAAACGTAATCTTTTAAGAAAGCGAGCAACAACAATTCCAATCATGTCTAATGTGCGGAAGCAGAAATCTAAAGAAAAAATAAAACCAAAACTATTTGCTTGGTTAGGCAGCTTCAGAGGTTAGCGTGTAAACAGGTTTGACTTTTAAATATACATTATATACCTAGTTTTTGTATGCTTATGTTAATTAAATGATATGTTACAGCATTGAGGTAGTTGGTAATGCTGCACTGGACTGCCTTGTATTCAGATGTGTTTCAAATATTCCGACCCCTCTTGATTTTTAACAGGAAGGACAAAGAATACAAACAAAATCAAACAAAAAAATAAACATAGAAGTGTGTACTGGGTTGCATTATTTAGATACCTGTGTACCTCATAAAGAAGCCCCTGAGTGTAAATATATGTCTTTATATTGTAGGCCTACTTATCTTTTAATATAAACATATTATTTACAATACTGTAAAATACAACAACAACAAAATTGTCATTTCAAATATAGAGATAGTAATATACGTTGTTCTTGTATATAATCTATGTTTATGCAATTAAATGTTCTGACTAGCAAATAATGTTGGTCACACATGTAAAACTTTGGTGCACAAACTCATTTTGCTTTTTTTAATGTCCCTGCTACTGTAATTACACTGTACTGTGTCACTAATAAATAATTCACACCCAACTATGTTCTCATTTCCTTCTGTGCAAATGTTTAAAAACTATTTCTCGGATGCTTCTTCAGAAATAACTACATCCGATTCACGAAACGGTCTAAAAACCGCAGCTCATATCCGTAGCCCACCCACATGCACACCATCACTATCGATATGTTTTCATGGTTAGAGTCTCTCTCATGTGAGTGACATACCTGAATGTCTTCGGAAACATCTTAAATATGTCTGAAACTTGTCTCAATGCATAAACAGGATTTTCATACCAATAGTGCACATAATGGAAATGTTGTGTCATGATTTGGCCTTTTTCCCGGCAGTGACTGAGCAAATGAAAGTCGGAAATATGATGTATGATTTCTTATTAATGCAGACGACTAATGATTTGGTACGCTTATTATACACCATGCAGCTCTGAGGTATGGTGTTTAGTGGAAACACTCCCACACTCACTGCTCAGTTATCTTCAATCTAACATCAGCTGTGTGTTTGTCTGAGAGAGAAACAAAGAAATGGGGGTTGTTGGTGTACCTCTATGTTGCTGCTTTAGTTCAGTCAAACCGCTCCCACACACAGACCTACATCTGCTCCACAGCCACGTATGAACATACACAAGTGTGCACGTGTGTTTGAAAGTGTGTGCACATGCATTGAGTCTGAAGTTGTGTGTGTGGGGGGGGGGATTGCGTTTCTGAGCAGAGCTGTCTAAGCTTTGTTGTTTGATCTCTCGTCTCTTCCTCAGATAGAAAGAAGCTGCAGTATGTAGCTTTGTTACAGCAGTGTCAAGAACAAGGCAGAAAACTCTGAGCAGCGATCAAAGAATTTAAGCTATAAGATTATCTGACATGGAGGGGAGCTTCCTCTTGATCAGATATCTCTGCTCCTCTTCCTCTATAACCTTTTCGTCTCTTTCACCATACCCGCTCTTCTCTTTACTCTTGTTATGTAATTTTTTCCATCTCTCAATGTCACAACATATACTCTCCTTTTCATATAGTTTCTGCTACAGACAGAAATAGACCTCTGAAGACTCTCGACCTTACAGGATAGTTATGAAACACTAGTGTTGTAGCACTTTTTAAAGGTCTTGGTCTCAGAATCGACTGCATTTGCAGTCGGTCTTGTCTCGTTCTCGGACCTATAGGACTGGAGATTTTATGTCAAGACAGGTCAAGAGCACGGCTGTGGCTGGGGATGTGATTGGGTGTAAAACGCCCTGTTTCAAATGCCACCAATAACGTGACTAAACTGACTTACTTTAAAGCACTCAAGAGACACCAAATCTTTGCGCTCATGTGCCGCAATGTTTGTAAACATGGGACTGGTCTATAACGGCTGTTACCCCCTCACCTCTCCCCACCCTGTTCACACACACTCAAACAGTCTTTTTATTACATTACATTACATTGCATTTAGCTGACGCTTTTATCCAAAGCGACTTACAATAAGTACATTCGACCAGGAAGACACAACCTTGAAGAAAACAGAATCATATAAGTACATCAGGTTTCATAGAGCCAAACATTTCAAGTGCTACTCAACTGGCTATAGATAAGCCAGTCCTTTATTAGTATATAAGTGCTTTGTTAGCAGTTCTTTGTTAGTAATTCTATTGCTCGAAGTGGAGTCGAAAGAGATGAGTTTTCAGTCTGCGCCGGAAGATGTGCAGGCTTTCTGCTGTCCTGATGTCAATGGGGAGCTCATTCCACCATTTTGGAGCCAGGATAGCAAACCCACGTGTTTTCGCCGATGGGAACTTGGGTCCCCCTCGCAGCGAGGGTGCAGCGAGTCGTTTGGCTGATGCAGAGCGTAGTGCACGCGCTGGGGTGTACGGTTTAACCATGTCCTGGATGTAGGAAGGGCCAGATCCATTCGCAGCATGGTACGCAAGTACCAGTGTCTTGAAGTGGATTCTAGCAGTTACCGGAAGCCAGTGAAGGGAGCGGAGGAGCGGAGTGGTGTGGGAAAATTTAGGAAGGTTGAAGACCAGACGAGCCGCTGCATTCTGGATGAGCTGCAGAGGTCGGATGGCACATGCAGGTAGACCAGCCAGGAGGGAGTTGCAGTAGTCTAGGCGTGAGATGACGAGAGCCTGGACCAGAACCTGCGTCGCTTTCTTTTATGATGATGTCGGGATATTTGAGATAAAATTGACTATGGTATTTTCCACATTTTATTGTAAGTGTATTGTGTAGTGTTGGATTCACACTAGTCTGGTTCCAGTCTTGATTCGGTCTCGCCCAGCCATGGTCTTGACTTGGTCTTGACCTCTTAAAGTCTTGGTCTTGTCTTGGTCTTGCTAAACGACGGTCTTGGTCTTGACTTGGTCTTGACTTGGTCTTGACTTGGTCTTGACTTGGTCTTGACCTCTCAAAGTATTGGTCTTGACTTGGTCTTGACCTCTCAAAGTATTGGTCTTGACCTCTTAAAGTCTTGGTCTTGTCTTGGTCTTGCTAAATGACGGTCTTGGTCTTGACTTGGTCTTGACTTGGTCTTGACTTGGTCTTGACCTCTTAAAGTCTTGGTCTTGTCTTGGTCTTGGTAAACTCCGGTCTTGGTCATGACTTGGTCTTGACTTGGTCTTGACTTGGTCTTGACTTGGTCTTGACCTCTCAAAGTCTTGGTCTTGACTTGGTCTTGACCTCTTAAAGTCTTGGCCTTGTCTTGGTCTTGGTGAACTCTGGTCTTGGTCATGACTTGGTCTCAGTTCAGGTGGTTTTGACTACAACACTATGAAACAAAACATCAGTAGCAAGTGGTGCATGAAGTATTCCAATCTTTAAGGAAAAGTACCAAATAAACCAACAAAAAATACAGACATTAAAAATAAGAAAGACACAAATTAAAGCTCCTTCTTATTTACAAGTACAAATTATCGTCAAAATGTACTTAAAGTTATCATCCATAAGCTTTTTGATTTGCGGACACCTGTGCTTACAGCTGGCAACAGTGAGACTGCAGGAAAATGGCGGACTCCACCACTGAAAAAGCAGCAATGAAAAATGTGTAAAACTGGGTTGGACTTCTTAGAAATCTTGAGGATGTTAACTTTAAAGTATCAAAAATGAAAATAATTTGGAGGAAATATGTATCACAATATTAGATGAATACTGGTGCATTTTACTGTAGCTGATCAAGGCTGAGTTTGAACTATACTGTCATAGGCAGTGTTGCAGTATAATATTTTTCAAAAACCTTTCTCCAAATCTTTTAATTGGTGAAACATTGGATGATTAAACATATTTGATCTGTGTAAAATATTTTAAAAAACCATCTGACGGGTTTTAGAGGGGAAATGTTTTTTTGTGGAGGTGTGAACAGCTTTCTTGACACCAGAAACGTGACACGGTGTTACTTGTAAGTAGACTTTTTTATAAGAGGCCCACAAACCAAATATGGTGGGAGCAATGGTGTTAAACTTAAACATGTGTGGTAAAATGTAAATCTCAAAAGCAACAAGTCACACTTGACAAATAAATATAGGGCATTCAAAAGCATGGTGTTAGCGTCTGTACATTTTTGGCGAAATAAATATTGTATCTAACTGAACCTGTATCATGGTACAAGAGCTCACCTGAGTTAACCCTTGTGTGGTGTTCATATTTTTGTTACTCAGCCAGTGTTCGTGGGTCTGGTTAAAATACTCAACAGATGTTTACTTAATATTTGCCTTTTACATTTGTTAGATCATATTAATGAATTAAAGTGCTACTTGTTTTTTTGCCCCCTGTGGCTCGTCTTTTTTTAACTAGCTCATCCTCTTCTTCAAAGTCACTGTCAGACTCAGAAGTCTCAGAAATGTGATCTTCACATTCTGAAACCTCTTCATCATCATCAAATGGTTCTCTCTCTTCCAGAATCATTTGCAAGGCCCTCTGAGCAGAGAATATGTTGGCCATCTTGATCAGCTGTGATAAGGACCCAAACGGGCGAAGCTTTATTTATTGTGTCTTGCCCCAAATTTGCAGCTGGGGTAGAGTGTGAAAAAAATAAAGATTGGTTCCCGCAAGATATAATGCGCGAATGTGAGAGCAGACAGGTGTCGGTGCTTGACTTTATCAACAATGTTGCAACCTTGTGCGGGAATGGCAGGGGCAGAAACACAAAAGTCTCACACAAACACACAAACACAAACAAGGCCCAGACAGGTGCACAGGACCTAAAATGTCCACACTGTTGGAGTGACCCGAACACTCTGTATGTAATGTAAATGTGTAGGGGGGGGGTCATTGAAAATGTGTTCTGAGATATGTTATTCATAGAAAATGAGCCAAGGCCATGAGTGTGGGTTTGAAAAAACAATTTATCATATCATTGTTCTTTAGCTAGTTAATGAAAACGGGTCCCACAGACCTGAATACCATACAAGGGTTAAAGGGGCCTTATTGTGCTCATGTACAGGTTCATTTTTGTACTTAGCGCCTCTACTGTGTCATGTCTCCATGCTTTATGTTCAAAAAGGTCTTTATTTTTCTAATAGTGCCAGTACTACAGCACCTCTTTTCAACCTATGTCTGAAACCAGAGCCCAGTCTGCTCTGATTGGTTAACATTGATTAGGGATGTCACTTTTTTACAGAAGTAAACATAGGCGTCCAATCGAGGTGTTACAAGCAGGGGGGCAGTATGTGGGAGAGAAACCCCCTCAGGAGGGAACTTTGAGATTTTAGCCTTTGTAGACCATTTACATGCACAAAAACATATATAACACAGTACAAGAAAGGGAATACCCCAAAAAGTATAATAAGGCCTCTTTACTTTGTTACTTTCTAACACTTTTGACTGCCAACATGACAAGACCACACTTTTGTTCTTAATTTTTATTTATTTTGCAATGTCACTTTTGTTTCAATGAACATTTTCAAGCCGCACTTACAGTATGGAGAGAGGAAAACGTAAAAAAATGACAAACTATTTCAATTAAAATCTTATCAAAATAAGAAGAGAGTCTGATAAACACCTGACTAAGATATACAGTGCCATTCAGGTCTATAAAGAGCAATATCTTACAGGCGTAGTTAATATAAATGTTGAGTGGAAAGCTATAACAGCATCATTCAGAGCAAATTACATGAGGGTAATACTTTTCCCTTCTGCAGATGTAAGCTTTTAATGGGGGGGGGGGGGGGTTGACCACAGCCCCTTCTATCTTTTGCGGTTCAGCTCATCATACGTGTCTCTCTGGCGAGGTTTCAGATCCTGAGGAAGGAACGGCAGAGTAAAGAATGAGAAGGGACAAAGACAAAGGTGTCTTTCATCATTTCATTCAATAACATGTTAATTGACATCCTTGTACATTTCAGATTACCTGGTAAAGATCATGGGATGCCCCCCCTCTGGCAGCATTTGGAACAAGATGCTGTCTGTCAGAGCCTGGGGATGAATGTATTGATACTATTAATATAAACAATTAACAAGTGACAAACAGATGTTCATCTAAATCATATCTAAGTTTTGTTATAAGGTGTATTTGTGTCATTTAACACATTGATATCTTTCTCATATAAAGTCAATATACTGCTATCTGTTTGTACCGTTATTGAAGTTATTCATTTGTAAATTCAGGAGATTTACTTTGACTGACAGACAGACAGACAGACAGACAGACAGACAGACAGACAGACAGACAGACAGACAGACAGACAGACAGACAGACAGACAGACAGACAGACAGACAGACAGACAGACAGACAGACAGACAGACAGACAGACAGACAGACAGACAGACACACACACACACACACACACACACACACACACACACACACATAGTTTACTTTTCTTGACAGAGGTAGTTGGACCAATCTGAGTCTTAGATGCAATGATATAGACTGCCACTCCTATCACGATCGTAGCCACCACGTCTCCAATAGCTAATCCCATTATTGTGCCCATGTCAAACTCCACGCAGTTGTCACAGGCTGGACAAACACACAAACAGAAAAGAAAAAAAAGAAGATAAATTGAAGAGTGATTACTGTCAAGAAATACTGCAAAAACACAGCTGAAGCAGCCTTACAAGTAGAAAAGGGGACAGAAAACGTACAAAATGTGATGAAGTACTTACTCCGAAATTTCACATAGATATTTTCTTTGTCACAGGCATACTCTCCGGTGTGCTCATCCTTGTATTTCAAAGTATTTCCTACTTGGTGGCCATTTTTTGTTAGATTAACGGCGGCACCACAGGAAACCTTAATCCCATCAGAGAGACTTTCGACTTGTATCGCAGCGGCTGTTTAGGAAAAACTGATTTTAATATAATTTCACACATTATGATGCAACCTTATTTAAGTAGTTTTCTTATCTTCATTACAACTGACAGGGGCTGTGGGAGACATTTGGAAAAACACATGAGGTAATTAACTTTAATGAAAAACTCTAAATAATAAAATTGTACTTTTTTAATCTAAAATCTAAATCTGAAAAGTTGCCTACCTGTCAGCGTCCAAAGCAGCACCAAACATGCAGGTACAACTAAATGACTTTTCATTGTGTGTTCCTCTGAGTTCTGCTGATGACAAAAGGAAATAGTTAGATGTGAGTGAGAGAAAGCATGCAACAGAAAACAGGAACAGCGCCATTTTCTGATCTCCGTCATCCATTTTATTCGAATTATTGTAACAAATAACTGATGATAAAAAACAACATATAGGGTGCTACCGCAAGAGATTATTTTTGTTAATCTATAATAAAAATGTTGACTTGGCTTAAATTAATATTACCTAACTACATTCTAAAATGTGTTCCCTATAACATAGACATAGCCTGAAATGAGTTGAAACATACATTATTAGAAATATTAGAAAGCAAATACAGGACATTTGAAAAGAAAAGGTACAGACCTTGAAATAAAGTTGTGCCGTGTCCCTGCTGCCGAAGCATCCAGTTTCTGTCTGTCGAAGTGTGTGTGTGTGTGTGTGTGTGTGTGTGTGTGTGTGTGTGTGTGTGTGTGTGTGTGTGTGTGTGTGTGTGTGTGTGTGTGTGTGTGTGTGTGTGTGTGTGTGTGTGTGTGTGTGTGTAGGAAGTGAGTTTGATTGGTTTATTTTCCGTCTCAGTCTTTGTTGACTTCTACATCTGTAGGACTCCATGTCTCTATGTGTTCCAGCATATGCCACAGCATACATTTACTCAAGTACTTCTACCAGGGTTGGAAATAAACAAGTAATGCTTAACCCACCAGTTTAAGAAATTAAGAAATATACATAATCTATTTTGTTTAGCAGGAGAAAAACAAAAAGTTAGTATTTCTTCTACTCCACCAGAATTCAGAGGGAACATTGTTGTGTTTATACAATTAAAAATGTTTGACATCTGCAGTTTCTAGTCAATTTACAAACGACAATTTTTACAATAAAAAATGTGATGAGCTTTTATCATAAAATGCATAATATAAAAGAATAAACTACTCAAAAAACAATATATGGCAAGCTTAAAAAAAGCTCAGAATTGACTAACTACAACAAAAAACTGCTACCTATATATTATTGCACCAGTCTCAATAATCGTATAATATCATATAAAATGATCGGACATGAGACATTTATTAGTCATTTTTTGTTATTTGCTTACACTTACGACCTTGTACTTGTGTCACTCAAGTAGTGCACGACTTTTACTTTACAGCCTAACCCTTTACAGCAACTTTCAGTCAAAATAATTATCTGAATATTGAAATCATTTCAATTCATTCATTTAAACCATTTTCTATGTTTGGGGAATTTAAAGTTATCACAATTATGGAAACTTGTGATTAATTAAAACATTTAAGCATCTTCTCAAAGCGGCTTCGACAAGACATCCTGAGTGAGGAGAATAAAGTCACTGCCAGCCATGTATAAACTGAAATGACAGATCAGTAAACTCTGCTTGCTACTGGCTTTTGAAGGTTTGTGGAGCAGCTGCATCTGGTAAAACCAAGATACAAACACAAACATGTGTGTTGAGATAAATATTTGAAATCCCTGTTTGTCCCGCTGCGTGAGACAGACTTCGTTCCCTGTTCAGCACAGAAGCAGCAGCAGAGAGAGCAAAGAGATGCTCCCACAACACAACGTTGCTTCCTGTCAGAAGCAAAGCCACAACAACCTGACCTAGAGCTAACACCTGGCGCGCGCACACACACACACACACACACACAAACACACACAGAAAAAGACATGCATATTCTTTCTCTTGCACCTGCTATTGTAAAGAAAAAAGAAAGCAATGTGTAATTTTCGTTCTTAACCGAATGCAACCATGCTTTCATTATCACACAACACACACTCATTTCTAGCTCCATATCAAAAACACACATCACCCTCATCACAAGTCCTCCATGTTTTCCCGCTTGTAAAGCAACTTAGAGCGCCCCCTGGTGAGTCTCAGCAAAACCCCAAGCCTAGCATTTACTTCATACAATATCTTTATTAGACGTTCTCTTTTATACACATATACATATGCATACAAATATACAGTACAGTACATGACATGTTACATGTCCATATACAAATACATTCTCTATAAATATGTTCCATCTTATTTAGAGATTATTGGTCAGTTTGTAATTATATTATCTCAGGACATTCTGGTGTTAGCATAGAACAATTAATGCATTCAGAGGAGGACATCATAGGCATGTGGTTACAGGACGAAACATGTTGAAACAGACAGGGCATGTATAATTTTATGTAGATTTTAAACTTTGCAATGTTAAGACAACACATCAGAAGTGTATGGACCAGAGCTCTCGGTTCAGAGAGATTACAACAACATCCAGTTTAGTTTTGTGAACCTTAAATTCAAGTTATTGGATAAACTTGAGTAACAGTGTTGGTACGGTATGTGATACACAAAGATAGTTTCTGATGATTGGTTGAATGACTGGCAGTTGCTATGGGTTTCCTCTTGGACAGCTGCATCGTTTGACTTAGTTATGCATGCATGTAAAGTATTTGTGCGTGTGTGTGTGTGTGTGTGTGTATTTGTAAATGTGCGTGTGTGTGTGTATTTGTAAATGTGCGTGTGTGTGTGTGTGTGTATTTGTAAATGTGCGTGTATGTGAGGTCAGTCAGAGCCAGATCTCCTCACTGCTTGTGCTGTTCACCTTATAGATGTAGCCCACCATCGGATATCTTGCAAAACCTGGAAATCATGGAGAGAAGGGGGAAAGCATTCAGAGTGAACACAACAAAATAAAAACACTCACCGCTGTGTCTCCATGCAGAATGTGGAGTATTAATGATGAAAAATGCAACAGTAGTGTTGCGCTGTATTTCCCTGACCTCTGGCGGCGTAGGCTAAAGACAGATCTTCCTCTTCCTCTTCCTCTTTCTTCTTCCCTCCCACACCGTTCTGCTGGGCGGCCTCTCGGGCTTCCATAAGTGCTGCAAGTAGGATGGAGGACACATCAAAATGCAAGAGAGATACATCGCTGAGTTTGGAAGGATAGTTTTAGGGAAACACGTACTTACTGCAAAATAAATAAGAGGTTTGCTACTACTTTTCTTGGGATTAGTATCGATATCTTAATCTAACTCTGGGCAAGTAAGTATAATTTACAAAATGTCAAACCATTTAGCAGTGACAGCTTTTATCCAGCCACTAGTGGAACCAAATGTATTCTTCCTCACACCTATATAATCCTTATGCGGTCATTTTAAAAACAAGACAATGTTGTTTGGATTTATTGCATCCTTTGAACATTAATCTCATTTGTTGTTCCAGGTCACAATCAGATGCATAGCAGGCAACATAAGAATTGTTGAATACATGTTGAATTGAATGCTTGTCTGTCAAAAAAAACATTGTTCATGTTTAGCTGAAATCCTATACAAGTACTAAGAAACTCTATGAGCTATAACAAACATGTTCCCTAGAAGAAAGCTCCATTTTGCCACATACCTCATACCAAGAATTGTGTCCGCCATTGATCGCAATTCACATCGGTTTGTCAGAAATGTTTGTGTTGTTGTCTACTTTTTTTTTTGCATGCATTGTAAGAGGATGAAGAACTAAGCAATGATTGTAAAGACACCTGGATTATGTGTATTAAGTAGTAGCAATTGATTGACTGACGTTTTAATTGAGCTAGCTTTCAGACTTTTGACCCTAACTTTCAGACTTGTGAGAAATTGACAAAAAACATACTGTAGCATACCATCTCAGGAGTTCACTGATTGTTATTATTTGAACAGTAAAACAATTTTAATGTTTCTAAAAAGGTATTGCCACATAATCCATATCTATATATGTTGTATTCTAGATATACAGATACTTAAATATATTAGTTGTTCCTGCCTGAGATGAAGTTTTAACTTACAAAGCTGTAAATCCACAGGATTGTAGCTGACATCCTCGTGGATTCATCTTCTTATTACAGACACATGCATTTCCTAACATTCGGTCTATATGCTATAAAATGTATTATCTCTTCGATTTACACACGGCATCTATTGCACGTATGTCCGTCCTGGGAGAGGGATCCCTCCTCTGTTGCTCTCCCTGAGGTTTCTCCCATTTTTTCCCTTTAAACTGTGGGTTTTCTCTGGAAGTTTTTCCTTGTACGATGTGAGGGTCTAAGGATAGAGGGTGTCGTTTTTCTCATACTGATATTCTGAACAATCTGTGCTGTTGTATTTGCTGTAAAGTGTCTCTACTCTAGGCTATTTTTATTATATGTACAGCACTTTGGCTCGACCAAAAATCGTTTATAAATGTGCTATATAAATAAAACTTGATTTGATTTGAAATATGTACCTTTTCTCAAAGTGTTGAGGTCGTTGAGCTGCATGTTGGAAGGCAGAGACATGTTCTCTCTGGGGATGTTGGTCTTAACTTCTTTCTCTACCTTCAGATTGGCAGAGTCACTGTGGCGGAAATATGAAGGAGAGATATACAACTTGGATTAGACGTGATATTGGTCTACAGGATGGACATCAAATATTTATTAGAGCACAAATGTGCTTTCATGTGTTTCCCTTCCAAATACACTGATAATGCTGACAAAGTAATCATGAGATGAGATGGGAGGATAAGTGTGTAACTTATTGTAAACTATGCTAACCCCTCACTGGCTGTAGTTTCATATTTAGTGTACAGACCATAGACTAGACATGGGACTCAAGCCGTTGATCTTAAGCAAGTCACAAGTCATTTTCTTCTTTTGCAGGTCATTAGTTGAGGCAAGTCAAATCAAAAGTCAAGGAACTACCCCCCTAAATAAAAAATGTTAGAGGAACATTCAGCCACTTATTTCATCTTTTTCTTTATGGAAGAAAAGCCAAATGTCAGACCCAATATTTTTGTTTTAATTACAATTAAGTTGGATTTAAATGGGGGTCAAAAAGAGACAGTGTCTACAATTACATATCTATTTAGTGGTTTTCCATCCATCTAGTTGGCTTGCTTTGCTCTCCATTCTTATAATTTGATGTTGGTTCACACACATATCCACTGACAGATTACTTTATTTACCTTTTCTTTGTCATCAAAATCTCCACTGGCTCATCTGTAACACAATACAAGGAAACGCATCATCAAGAGCAACGGACAATGCTCCAGTCACACATTTGTCAACCTCTAAAAAAACAAAAACAATCTTACCAAAGGATTTGCTCTTGTTTTTTTGCATAAGGCAGAGAACAATCAGACTGAGGATGAGGAGCGCCATGAAGGCCATGGCTCCCCCCGTCACTATTCCCAGCATGGGCACCTCCACACGAGACTGCAGGAACTCTGGAGAAAAAAGGAAAGAGCGTGACTGGAATAGTTTGACATTTTGGGGACTATGGGGGGTTATTTGTTCTCTTACAAAGAATATAATGTAGTGCCGTGAAAAGAGAGTCGGAGGCGGTGTATTAAGAATGGAGTTCCAATCTTTATTATCCATTACTTCAGAGAGGTTAACACATGCACTGCTCTGCCATGATGAGCTAGCAGGAATGGCAGCTAAAGCTACAGGTGTTCCCCACTAAAGGGTCCGTGTGGCAACACAATAAGCAAGGTGAATTATGTCCAATAACATGTCACCACACAAGCCCCCCCAGAATTCACACATAAACAAAATCAGCATGGCGGGGAGGAACGACACGCCGACCCCCACGACTCCTGAGCACGGGAGTCGGAAAAGTGACTCCCGCCTGTGCGGCCCCCGGAAGGGGAGGGACCGGGACAACAGGTCTTAAATCCGTGACAGGGGACGAGGCCGGGGGGCGGCCCCGTCGCGGAGGTCGAGCCAGCACCACAGGCTGGTCCAAGTCCAGGTGAGCAGCCTTCACCCGGTCCACCGAGACGTGCTCGGCCTTGCCACCCAGGTCGACCACCAGGTGCTTGTCCCCGTGCTCCAAGACCCGGAAAGGCCCATCATAAGGGGGCTGCAGGGGGCCTCTGTGCGCATCGTGCCGGATGAACACGTGCTCCGCCGAGCGGAGCTCTGCGGGAACCTGGGACACCTGAGTACCGTGCTGAGTAGTAGGGATCGGAACAAAGGCCTCAGCGGCGTCACGCAGGAAAACCCACTGGGCCGACGCCGACCAGGGAGCCGATGCATTTGGGAGGAAATCCCCCGGAACTCTCAGCGGCTGACCGTAGACCATCTCCGCTGTAGAACACTGCAGATCTTCCTTAGGTGCGGTCCTCAGGCCCAGCATCACCCAGGGCAGCTTGTCGACCCAGTTACCGTCCGTAAGGCCGGCCTTGAGGGCCGCCTTCATGGAGCGATGAAAGCGCTCGCAGAGACCGTTAGCCTGAGGGTGGTAAGCGGTAGTCCTGTGCAGCTTAACCCCCAAACCGCCTGCCACAGCGTTCCAGAGCTCGGACGTGAACTGAGAGCCCCTGTCTGAGGAAATGTCTGACGGGGTGCCAAAACGACACACCCACGTTGCAATGAAGGCCCGGGCAACGTCTGCGGCTGATGTCGAAACGAGCGGAACCGCCTCCGGCCAACGGGTCGTCCTGTCCACCATGGTGAGGAGGTAGGAAAACCCCTGAGAGGAAGGCAACGGACCAACCAGGTCAATGTTGACGTGATCAAACCTCCTCTCAGGCACCAGGAAACGCTCCAACGGGGCCTTCGTGTGGCGGTGCACCTTAGCGCGTTGACAAGCCACGCACTCCCTGGCCCAAGTCCTCACGTCCCTTTTCAGTCCTTGCCAAACAAACTTCGCCGCTACCAAACGGACCGAAGGTTTAACGCCGGGGTGTGACAGGCCGTGCACAGCCTCGAACACAGGACGCCTCCAGCTGGCAGGGACGACAGGCCGCGCCAGGCCCGTAGAGACGTCACACAGGAGAGTAATGCCCGCGTCGCCGAACACCACGTCCTCCAAGCGCAGCCCCGCGCTCTCCACCTTCAGGGCCTGGACGCCGGGATCTGTGACCTGGTCTGCCGCCATGCGAGTATAGTCCAGGCCCAACTGGACGGCACCGATGACGACCCTGGAGAGGCAATCAGCAACCAGGTTCGACTTGCCAGCCACGTGCTTAATGTCCGTAGTGAACTCCGATATGTAGGACAGCTGCCGCTGCTGACGTGCCGACCAAGGCTCCGCCACTTTTGACATGGCGAAGGTGAGCGGCTTGTGGTCGACAAACGCCGTAAATTCACGGCCTTCCAGCATGAAACGGAAGTGCCGCACGGCCAAATAAAGTCCGAGGAGCTCCCGGTCAAAGGCGCTGTATTTGCGTTCTCTAGGCGTCAGCTGGCGGCTGAAAAAGGCGAGCGGCTGCCAAGCGCCCTCCACCCACTGCTCGTGCACTGCGCCGACCGCGTAGTCTGACGCGTCCGTGGTGATGGAGATGGGAGCCGTAGATGATGGGTGTGCCAGCAAAGCCGCCTGAGCCAACGTGGTCTTGACCTCAGCAAAAGCGCCGTCCGCCTCTGCTGTCCAGTCGATCTCCTGGACGGGGGTCTTGCCTTTCAACGCTTCATACAGCGGCCGCATGATGTGTGCGGCCCGGGCGATGAAACGGTGGTAGAAAGTCACCATCCCCAGAAACTCACGGAGCGACCGGGCTGTGAGCGGGAGAGGAAACGCCGCAACAGCCTCCACCTTCGCTGGCAGAGGTGTCGCACCGCCCTTGGTGACGCGGTGCCCCAGGAAATCGATGTCCGACACCCCGAACTGGCACTTTGCAGGATTGATGATTAATCCGTGTTCGTTGAGCCGTGTGAAAAGGGCTCGGAGGTGGGACAGGTGCTCCTGCACTGAAGCGCTGGCGACAAGTATGTCGTCGAGGTAAACAAACACAAACGGCAGGTCCCGCAGCACCGAATCCATCAGGCGCTGGAACGTCTGAGCGGCATTCTTGAGTCCAAAAGGCATCCGCAGGAACTCAAAAAGTCCAAAAGGCGTTATCACTGCTGTCTTGGGAACGTCCAGGGGGTGCATGGGCACCTGGTGGTATCCACGCACCAGGTCCACCTTGGAAAACACCCCCGTACCGGCCAGATGCGCCGAAAAGTCCTGAATGTGCGGCACCGGATAGCGGTCAGGCATAGTGGCGTCGTTGAGTCGGCGGTAATCCCCGCACGGGCGGAACCCGCCGTTCGATTTGGGAACGACGTGCAGGGGGGAAGCCCAAGGACTGTCGGAGCGGCGGACAATGCCCAGGCGCTCCATGGTTGCGAACTCCGCCCTCGCTACAGCCAGCTTAGAAGGGTTCAACCGCCGGGCCCTGGCGTAGACAGGAGGCCCCCCGGTAGTGACGTGGTGTTCCACGCCATGCTTAGTGGTAAGCGCAGAGAAGGTGGGTAGCGACAGGTCTGGAAACTCGGCCAACAGTCTGAGAAACGTGTCTGCACCTGACAGCGAGCCTGACAGCCCGTCGTACGCTGCGCTGCCAAGTGTGCACACGAGGGAAGAAAACGTTAAGGCATCAACCAAACGCCTATTCTTAACGTCCACTAAGAGTCCATGAGCACACAAAAAATCCGCTCCGAGGAGGGGAAAATAAATGTCCGCTGTCACAAAATCCCAGCTGAAACGCTGTCCTCCGATGCACAAACACATAGGCCTCACGCCGTACGTGCGAATGGGACTGCCGTTAGCCGTCGTCAATCGCGGTCCGTGCCCCCCACGGGCGACGTCTTCACTCGACGCTGGAACTACGCTCCGTTGAGCGCCCGTGTCACACAGAAACAGGCTCCCCGAAACGCTGTCGCTGACGAAGAGGAGCCTGCACGTGCCGCCGACGCTCAGAGCCACTACTGAGCGCCGGCCCCTCCGTTTCCCGGGGGGTTGTAGCTGCACGGAGCGATGCATCTCTTCGCCCTTGTCCCGAAACGTGCGTGGTAAACGCACTCTCCGGCGTCTCCACGCCGGCTAGCCACAGCCGTGTCCGGCCTCCGCCACGCTTTCTTGACTGCCGGTGGGCCGCTGAGCGTCGCGGCTAACGTCTCTGCCCCGGGCTGTTGCGTAGCCAGGAAAAAACGATCCGCTTCCTCAGCCAAAGCACGGGGCTCCGTGACAGGCGTGTTGGCCAGCGCCGTCTGTACCCGGGGAGGCAAGTGACGCAGGAAAATCTCCGTGAATAAAATACGGGGATCTTCCCCCCCCTAGCAGATTTAGCATTTTCTCCATTAGCTGGGATGGCTTGCTGTCTCCTAGGCCTTGAATGTCAAGTATCTGGCGGGCCCTCTCCTTAGCAGATAAGCTAAATGTCTTAAGGAGAAGGGCCTTAATCGCCTCATATTTGCCATGATGTGGGGGGGCTGCGATGAATCCCACCAACCTGGATGACGTGGAGCTCCCCAGCGCTGCTACCACATGGTAGTATTTTAGGTCCCCGTCACGGACCTGTCGGCAGGCGAAATGTGCCTCCACGTGTGCGAACCATGCCTCCGCGGTGTGCTCCCAGAATTCCGGCAGCTTTATGAAAACATCGCGCTCAGCCATGTTCGTTAATTTTCCGGAAACTTTCTCGGAAAAGTCAGGGTCACCAGTGTAGTGCCGTGAAAAGAGAGTCGGAGGCGGTGTATTAAGAATGGAGTTCCAATCTTTATTATCCATTACTTCAGAGAGGTTAACACATGCACTGCTCTGCCATGATGAGCTAGCAGGAATGGCAGCTAAAGCTACAGGTGTTCCCCACTAAAGGGTCCGTGTGGCAACACAATAAGCAAGGTGAATTATGTCCAATAACGTGTCACCACAATAAATAATATATATGATGAAGCTGCAGCTAAGGAAACAGTTAGCTTAGGCAAGGCAAGTTTATGTATACAGATATGAAGAGCTGTGAGCTCTGAGTGCTAAGAGCTAACGGCTGTGTTGTTTTTTGGGGCGCTCATTGAAGATGACGTCACGGCTCCGCCTACACTGCGTTACTATAGTAACTACCCCAGTTCCTAAACTGTAATGGAAGCGCATCATTAAAGTGAGCCGGGCCTAATAAGGCCTAACCAAACCGAGCGAGGCCTGCAGTGGAAACGCGCCATTATATAGCACCTTTCAACACAAGGCAATTCAAAGTGCTTTACATAATGAAATACATTAAGAGCATTAAGAAACATATTATAAAATGACATTTAAAAACACTAATTTAAAAGCAAAGATAATAAAACATGAATAACAAAAGGTACATGAATTAAAGTTACAGTGCAGTGTGAGATACACACATCTGAAATGTTTAGGTCTGACTCAATCGTTGCTAACCGTTTAGCAGAAATAGTTTTATTTGACCTCACTTTCTTTCTACTTTCTTTTTTAACTTATCCTTCAGTTATTTCAAGTATTTCATGCTAAAACGAACCCCCCTTTTGAAAATGTTAATCTGCAACCCAATATTCCAAAAATGCTATGGATCCTGGCCATATTTGTGTAGTATATAAAATGAATTTGCTCCCAGACATTCATGTGGCTTGCTAGTTTGGGACCCCATCTGTAACCCCAATACACATAGGGGACTTTAACCATAGCATAGCATAAGACCTTGGTTTCCTTTCCCTTTCCTTTCATACCATCACTGACCTGCCAGAGTGAGGTTGCTCTGCACGGTTCCCACACTGTTGCTGACGTTCAGCGAGATATTCCCTGATAGGCTCCCGAGTGTGACCTTCAGCGTGTGATTGGTCAGCCAGGGGTAGCTTCTGGAGTCCAGGATGAGGAAGTCGGAGGTGTTAGCCACCAGCTGGCCTGACTGGTCCATGAAGGTGATGGTGGCAGGCGGGTTAGACCGTACCAAGGCGAAGAGGACCAGGGAGAGCCCGGGGTCTGAGTTCTCACTGTAGTGGGCGTTCAGTCTGAGGATCTCTGGCTGAACTGGGAGATGAAGGTAACAGTAACAACTTTATTCAGTGCATCATCAGAAAAGATCTTACAACAATATTTCCCACAGACTCACACTGGACATTGAGTGTGACCGTGGCGTTGTAGCTCTCTCCTGTCCTGGGGTTCGATGCGACACACACCAGCTCTCGGTCCCACTTCTTGGCCCGCAGAGAGAAGGTGCTGTTGAGATGGGTCCTCCGTCTCATGACTTCAGAATCCTCCTGCAGCTTCATCACCAGGCGCCTACGGGTGGGGGGTCGCTCCTTCTGCTGCTCCCCGTTCAGGTACCAGGTGAGCAGAGGAGGGGCTCGGGGATCCCAGCCGTCTGATTGGCAGTTGAACCAGTGAGTCATGTTTTCATGCAGGGTAACAGCCGCCTGGTGCTGCCCGTCAATTTTGAGGGCAGGCTCAATTTTACCTGCGAGAACCAGATAAGTGTTGGATATTTTGGATTATGTGGATAAAATAGAAAGGTGTTGGAAAAACATGACACATTTTAACTTTTATCTGGCCTGACTGAAAAGGGTGTAAAAAGGCATGTATGACTTCATACTGTACTTATAGCAAAAGATTGCTCTGACAAATAGGACAAGTTAAAGGAATAGGTTGAAATGTTGGTAAAATATAGTTATTACTGGAAAAGTGTTACATGGACATATTGATACCACACCCAGATCTGAAGGTTAAATATTAAGCTACAACCAGTGTTAGCTTGGCTTAGCTCAAAGTCTTGAAGTATGGGTAAACAGCTGACATGGGTTTGCCTGCATGGAATATTGCATCTAGATTACATACCATTTCACTTTTCATCTACACAAAAAGTGAAAGAGAAACACGTTTACAGGGGGGTTATCCAGAACAGAGCCAAACTGTTTTTATCTCAATGACCAAACACAATCACCACTCAAATAAGTATCCTTGAGTAATTTTTGGTTGAACTCCAATAAAGTAAACATGCCATCATGTCAGTAAAAGCCTTACCTGTCCATGATAAGGCCAGTGTGTGAAGGAACACAACAGCAGAGCCTGATGCCCACCTTCTCACACACTTCATTCTGGCCCAACGGAGCAGCACACACACACACACAACTACCTGCAAGGAGGAGAAAGAACATGAGGGCCATTACTTGTCCATAATGGGGCTCCATCGATTATCCTGAATGACCACTCAGAGACGAATATCTCAAAACATAAAAACTAGGCGTAGTTCCCTGTCCCGTAGTTCCACTGAGGGTGCATGAGGACAAAGGTGCTGGTTTGTGATTTGTGTGTATACCTAAAGACAAGTAAGTTGGTTATATGTCTTTTAATGCAATGCAATAAAGACACAAAAACATTACACAAGACCTTTCACAAAAAGACCTGTGATATTCCTCTCACTTTTCAATAATTCACTGCCTGGTTAGCTCTGTTTTGCACGCTGGCCTCATCATCACTACAAAACAAAACATCCACAGCCCTGCTTGGATCGACATTGATTGCAGTGAGTGCAGGGAATGAGTAATGTGCTTGCTTGCAATCTGGGTCATGTGATATGTGCACCTCAGACGATAGCAGGAACTGAGCCATTAATAAAAACATAAATAATCCTTCATGTATGGAGACAACCAAGAATACCCTTTTTCATTATTAAAGGTGTTAGAGGTCTTTAACCTCAGGTTAAGGGAGCTGAGATTGCAATGATAATCAATGCATGGGGCTAAACATTATAGTAGATCTCTACATACTGCACTTGTAAGGCTGCATGCAGGCATTTCATGCAGATGTGCACACTTCAATGCAGAAAGAATGCCCTTTACAAAACAAACACAGTATTACCTCAGCCCTTTGTGCAGACGCTGTTGTGATTCAGCCTGCTGGAGCTCCATGTCAGCGGAGGAGGAGAGGAGGGAGAGAGACGGATGGTGATAACAGCGAAGAGATGAGAGGCAGTCTTTCCTGACTCAGTAGCTTTCCCATTTGCGTACACTCTTACACACACACACACACACACAGCTCTATGCAGGGCACAACAGCTCCAGTTGCAGCGTTCACTAGCTGGCAGAGGCTGTCTGACGTAGGCAGTCAGGAAGAGAAAGTGGGAAGGGAGGAGGGGAGGAGAGAGAAGGAGCAAGGAACTTAGGAGATGGAAAGAAGGAGGGAGGGAATGAAGGCAGGGAGAAAGGGAAAGAAGCAGAGGATGAAGAGAGAAAGGGACAGAGGAGAGTGGGCACTGAGTTGGGAGGGAAAAAGAGACGATGTGGGAGAGGAGAGGATGTACAAGCTAGAAGACAAGAGGAGAAGCTCTGTCCAAAACATCAATCTGTAATGATTTACAACACAACATTATGGTGGATTGAGGACAGTTAAGTGTCAGTTTAAAGGGATAAACATTAGTCCCTGTCATCAGGCATGGTAAAGTAACCCCTGATATCCAAACGCAGACACTTACAGCTCACAGTGTCTGAGATCCATTACTTCAGACTGAAAGCCCTCTGCAGTGCAGCTGCACAGACATGAGCAGCAGCATGCAGAGCACTGCAGCCAAAAGCCAGACAAAAGAAACAAGCTTATTTACTGTAGCTTGTCCTGTGCCACAGCAAAATTCAGGTATACGTTTCTCTTCAGAAAATACTCATTTTAGTTTTATCCAATGCCGTCAACAAAAAACTGCTAGACTCCCCTGAAGAAACTCTGTTCTTAAAGAAGCACTTACCACAATATAACCATTTGTTTTAAATTACTCACCCCTTGTGACCTTGAATTCTAGAGAAGCCTAAAAAGTCTTGATGAACAGCAAAACGATATGAAAAGATCAGTTTGTAAACTCTCACAATACTCTGCAGATTCATTAAAGTCTTGTTTCCAGTCGTATATTCATTACTTTCAAACGCAGGCATTTTCAATACAACTTTTGCATGATTTGCATAAAGAGACTCACACTTGTGCTGCAGCCAGGTGTTCTACCTTGGAGGCATGCAACAAAAAACAGGATTTTCCTCAAGAATTCAACAACACACAGGGTCATTGATTTACATTGATTTGATGAGTAAATCATTGCTTTAAGTGGTTTGAAATCAGGTTTCGACAAGAAGGTTTTGCATCTAGCAAGTAGTATGTGTAATTGTTATGATTTCAATCATTAATTGATGAAGCAGCAACATATTTGAGAGTTAATGCACATTGTAAACAGATACACTGCTGACAGGACTGGTTGGTGCCTGACAAACAGGTAACTCCTGCTGCATGTATCATGTTCGCTTCACCTTTTAGTGATAACTAGGATACAACTCAAAACATTTGCTACGAAGAATGTACTCGCACTTCAGAGGAGCAGTCACAGCAAAAAGAAACACATGATCTACATTTATGTTTAAAGGGTTATTTTTACATTATTATCAGAATCAGGATTATTGCCAGGTAGGTTCACACATATGAGGAATTTGACTTGATGTCATGGTGCAGACATCAAATATAAAACAAAAAATCTTTAAGGACCGTAATAAAACATAAATAGCAAGAACATAAAGTAGTAATTTACATGGAAATAGAATGCTATGAATGAATTATAGGATATGAAATATGAAACAAGAAATATGTGCAGCAAGCAGTACGAACATTGTGTGCATTAATGTAATGCATATAGAGACTACGTTGTGGCGGAGGTAAAGTGTCAGTGGGGGGGGCCGGGCCTTGTTCCGGTAGCGGAAGAAACTGTTGGCGGTGGCGAGAGGTTTTGGTCCTGATGGAGCACAGCCTCCGGCCAGAGGGGAGTGGGGTGAACAGTTTGTGTCCAGGGTGGGAGGGGGCGGCCACTATCTTCCCTGCCCGCCTCAGGGTCCTGGAGGGATGGCAGATTGCAGCCAATCACCTTCTCTGCAGAGCGGATGACCCGCAGATGTTCTGCTCCCGTTTGAGGTCCTGGGCGATGATGGTGCCCAGGAAGCGGAAAGACTCCACAGCAGTTACTGGGGAGTCACACCGAGTGATGGGAGCGGGTGGGGCTGCGTTCTTCCTGAAGTCCACAACCATCTCCACTGCCTTGAGAGCGTTGAGCTCCAGGTGGTTGTCCCCACACAAGGTCACCAGATGGTCCATCTCCCACCTGTAGGCAGACTCGTCCCCACCAGAGATGAGTTCGATGAGGGTGGTGGCGTCTGCGAACTTCAGGAGCTTGACAGACTGGTGACTGGAGGTGCAGCTGTTGGTGTACAGGGAGAAGAGCAGAGGGGGAAAAACTCATCCTTGAGGGGAACCGATATTTTAGCAATTTCCATTTGGTTCGGTATATAATACAAATGTTGCGGTGATGGAAAATAGTAGGACAACACTAGGAGTTGCCAAAAGTTTTACAACATTTAAAAGAGCGAACAATAAATCGATAAACCTGAAAAGAAAATATCAGATTATGTTAGTTGCGAGTCTAGCACACAAATCAATGGCTGTTTCAAAGGTGTATAAACAGAAGCAAAGCGTTAAAATCGATAAAAAAACATGGCAGGCCTAATACAGTCGTATTAAGTTTTGAAACCGCCCTATAAGCGTTTTTACAAATTACAATCTGTGCCGACTCCTTGCCTGTCGCCGGTTACACAAAGACACACAAGTCATGACATTTTTAAATTATTTCTTTATTTATATATATTTATTTATCCATCCATCTCAGTTTGGTTGATATTCTTTTTAATCATTGTTGTTGCACTTTAGTATTTTTGTACTCAACAGAAATTAACATAAAAAAATAAAACGACAAAAAGAAAAAGGGACAAAATGAACCGATAGAAAAGAAAAAAAATGAACCTAAGAAACAGGAGTAGAGCAGAGCTGGCTTGCTGAGGCTGGGGTGGAGAGAAAAGACGCAGGGGAAGGGGAGGAAGAGTTAAGACAGAAGAAAAGTGGGGGAGTTGGGTCAGAGTCATCAGGCAGAAGATAGATGTGTGTGGAGCATTATTACCCCTCTGTCGTCTGCAGTACTTTCCATTCACGCCGTCCCTTCCTGTGTGCCTCTGCTCTTTCCCTTCCCTACTCAGATCTGAAACAACAGCTCTGCTCACAATAGACATCGCAGAGCCTCTGGTCTTACATGTAGAGTTTCTATCCTGCCGTGGGACAAGAGACGCGAAGTCTTCCATTTCAGATATTTCCTCTCCAGCCCTCTCTTCCAGATCTCACTTCTGGCTCAAACAATGAAAACAGGAGGATGGATCTTAAAGAGAAACTAGGGAAAACCCAGATGGAAAGGAAACGGCCTTCTTCTGTCCAATGAGCCACGTTAGAAAAAGAGTTTATGTCACTGTTAACTTCTGTATGCACTCACTTAATAGAGGTTCTGGTTTACCGCTATAGCTAATTCAGTCTGCTCTGAAGGGGAGCGCTTGTTGGTAAACAGGAAGTGCAAATGAAGAGCACAGGCGCTGCATGACTCCATCTACAGCTCTCAGATGTATAGCATTATGAAAAGTCAACCGTGCAGCCAGCTATTGTGAAACCTGGCCAGTATGAATACGTACAAGTGGAGCTTTATTCTTTGCCCCACAGTCTCTTGCTGGCCCAATATAGACTCAGTATATAGGAGGATAAATAGAAGTCAAACAATAAAAATAAATTTAAAAAAAGGGAGAGGTTCAATCTTCTGCTGTGGTCCCCAGTGTGCTGTAGCCTCTATCTGTGTTCCTCTGCTGTGTCCAAGTCAAGCTATTCCTTCCTATGGTCATCTCCGGAAATGTTTCCCGTGTAATGTTTGAAAGGTGTGTCAAGATGTATCCATCTACGGCGAGATCCATAAACTGTTCATGAAACGCAGTCATCAATTCCTCCCATCTCCAGGGCCGACAAATAACCAAAAAAAAAGGAGGGAGCGAAGGTCGAGTGATAGTAGTTGTAGTTTCCTCCGCCGAAGTAACGAGGTGAGCCGTGTCCGTAAGGCGTCGTCCAATCAGAAGCCAATGTAGTAAAAGATGGCCGGAGGATCACAGCAGATGGGTAGGGCAGCGAGAAAGAGAAGTGGGGTTGTCCATCTCCTCTCGGGATGTTTAGGATGATATGTCAGCTATATTACAAGTTATTCCCTTGATGTTTTTGTGTCTTTTCGTTTTTTTGAGTGTCAAGTCTCTGTAGCACCCGAACCAACCCAGACCAAAACCAAAGCCTGACCCTGTATAGCCTGTCACAACTACCCCGTTAACAGAAAACAGGCCCAACATCAACAAGAATGACAGTCACAACAACATCGATTGAAATGATACTTTAAAAGCAACACAAAATAATTACTCTCCTCTTATTCAAGTGTCTCGATATAATAATATTAAAACAAATAAGAACAATCTTTTTTACGACACAGAAAGATCACAAGGTCTCTTCTCTCTGTCCTCTTTTGGCTAAAAATCTCAAAATTCATTAAAACAAAAAAGAAAACATTTTGAAGACATCCAAAAATACAAATGATAAACAATACCAATATAAAAAAAGCCTCCCCGACATCTAAAAACAAAAAGAAAATTATTTGATACAGAAGTTGCAATAGCTTTCTATACATGGCGTCACTGTACAAGGAAAGGAGCAAATGTCTGGTAAAACTACCCACAATGCAATACACTGTCACTGACATGGGAAAGGAGGATGGAGCAAAGGGCAACCAAAGGTGGGGGAAGGCAGGAGGATTTGAAAAGCGGGGAAACAGCATGACAGAGTGAAGAGGGGGGGGGGGGGCAGACAGAGAGAGGATAGCTTGAACCGAAAGTGCAGAATTACTTAAGTAATCAAAGAACAATGCTGTCTTCCTTGCAACACAGAACTGTTTTCCTTTAATAATAATAATATTCATTATGATAAAAACCTCTTTTACAGAAAACAGTAATAACAATAAGAGTAACAATAGTGACCATTATGCCTACGTGGACATTAGCCATAGAAATGAAGTTTAAAGGAAAATAAGAAAAAAATGAATGCCAGAACAATAAAGGAAAAAAACAATGAGAGCGCTGGTTTGTCCTGTGCGATGTCACCGAGCTCAGTCTTTGGAGAGAGCCCGACCTAAAGCCGAAAAGGGGGGGGGGTCGTCATCCCCGCCACCGGCGCTGAGACTTCAGCCTGCTCAGGAATGATCTGCTGCGGGACAGCAGGAGGTGGGGGGGGGGGGGGGAGGAGCAGACTGAACCTGACCTTTCCCCTCCACTTACATCTTCTTCTCAGTCATGCACACACTCACACACACACATACATACATACACTCACACTATGTGAATACTTTGGGTTTGTGGCAGCAGTGTGTATGGTTCTTTGTGTTGTTTGACTCTTTAAACTATAACTGTATCAATGCGTTGGCCAATGAGGCACATAATGAAGTATGCCAACAGTAAATAGAAGATAAAGGGTGAAAGGGGAGGATTAGGTCCTGGCGGCAGGTGGATGAGGGTGGTGGTGGTGGTGAAGGTCTGTAAGGGGGAGGAGGTGAGGGGAGGGGGATGAGTTGAAATAGGGAGGAGTGGAACCCCGATCTGCCCATGATGGGATGTGAAAAGAGGAGACAACCTGCGACAATGGATGCTGGATGTCTGTGCAGAAAATGCTGGCACTTTGACCGACTAATCCCTGGCCCCACCTGTGACCCTCACCCCCACTAATGTCTACACCCACCCACACTCCCCCTGTCTTGCGCGGACTGCCCTCCCGAGGACTGATGGAGACAGACAGATGGACGTAGAGCGCCCCTGTTTGGGCAGAGAACGGTGGTTTGGCGTGATGCTGCTCAACTCAAGTCAACACAACTCAGGATGGCTGATATGGACCGCTGCAAACAGGATGCACCCCTTCCTAGAGAAAGAGAGGGACATAAGAACAGATCATCAGCTTTTCCAAAGTCAAATGAAGGTCATTTTCAGCCCCTGTGTGGCAAATAATATATCTACTCACAGTTTACTAATGACCACATCATATCTGATTTTCACATTGTATCAGTAGTGGTATGAATTTAAAAGGTTTGATACGTGAGAGCAGGGTGAAACACTAAAGGCCACTAAGGACTTTGAACTTAGTATTATGACCTGTATCTGCATTTCCAAAACTGGCTAGTAAATGTCTTCACAAATGAAAATGACGAGTTTCTGTTTTTGCTGGGATTCAGTGTTTTAAAATATAACATTAAAACTACTATAATTAATACTTTTCACAGATAAAAAAAAAGGAAACGTCAAAACCATTAACTGTGTGGTTACAAATAATTGATAGTGTCAAGTAGTAAAGGAAAGGAACTTGTACGAAACACTTTGGCTGTTATTCTGCTCACTAAGTATGAATGCAGTGAAACAGCCACAAAGAAAAAGCTATTTATATGGGACTGCTTGTAGCCTGTATGTGTGTGTGTGCGTGTGCGTGTGCGTGTGCGTGTGTGTGTGCGCGCGTGGGGGTGTGTGTGTGTGTGTGTGCATGTGTATGTGTGTGTGTGTGTATGCGTGTGTGTACCTGTGCTAGACCCCAGCCTGCTCCATGCTGTACTGCAGGTCGGGGGGCTTGTAGCTGAGGAGCATGTCACTGGTGCAGGAGGAGGGGTAGCAGGCTGCCGCAAGGAGCTCCTCTTCCACATTACACTCTGCATGAGAAGAAACACATATTTTACAAATAAGGAGTGTACAGGCTGTATTTTGAGGTGGAGGAAAGCATGTCTCCTACTGACCCGACTCTTCCCGCTGGCGCAGTTGCTGGCTTCCTGTCAGAGACGTCTGGCTAAGGATGTCCGACATGCGAGCGGAGCTTAGCGCCTTACCGGCCAACAGGCTCATCCCTGACATAGGCTCCACCTGATCCTGGACAGAAAGTGAAAAACAAGTAAATTAAATGTTACCAATACTTAACAAGCAGCTTCTGGCAGCTAGGATGACATGGAACCTTTGTTGAAGGATTAGGTATGTTTATAGCAGGGGTGGGGAACCTCCGGCCCCCGGGCCGTATACGGACCGCGAGACCATTTGTTACGGCCCTCGAGGTAATTTATAAACACACGCAAAAATTAAAGAAATCTAGACCGCAAAATAATTAAACAAGCGAGTGCCTGTTTTTCCTGGCCAAGGTCAGGGTCTTTGAACACAACACGAGCCTAACGTGTCATCACGTGGTATATGTCTCGTCTGACGGGTGTAGTTCTGACGGAGAGCACCGGAACGAGGCTCCGGCACTTCAGAAATTGCAGTATCCATAAGGAGCCGTACACATACAGCAGTTTCTGCGTGGCTGTGTCTTTAGTTGAAAGCCCAGTGGCGATCTGTTCATCTGTCATACTGATCATACAACATCAGGAAGATACGTCCCCAGCTGACACAGAAAGCGACGCAGGTTCTGGTCCAGGCTCTCGTCATCTCACGCCTAGACTACTGCAACTCCCTCCTGGCTGGTCTACCTGCATGTGCCATCCGACCTCTGCAGCTCATCCAGAATGCAGCGGCTCGTCTGGTCTTCAACCTTCCTACATTTTCCCACACCACTCCGCTCCTCCGCTCCCTTCACTGGCTTCCGGTAACTCCTAGAATCCACTTCAAGACACTGGTACTTGCTTACCATGCTGCGAATGGATCTGGCCCTTCCTACATCCAGGACATGGTTAAACCGTACACCCCAGCGCGTGCACTACGCTCTGCATCAGCCAAACGACTCGCTGCGCCCTCGCTGCGAGGGGGACCCAAGTTCCCATCGGCAAAAACACGTGGGTTTGCTGTCCTGGCTCCAGGATGGTGGAATGAGCTCCCCATTGACATCAGGACGGCAGAAAGCCTGCACATCTTCCGGCGCAAACTGAAAACTCATCTCTTTCGACTCCACTTCGAGCGATAGAATTATTAACAAAGCACTTATATACTAATAAAGGACTGGCTTACCTAAAGCCAGTTGAGTAGCACTTGAAATGTTTGGCTCTATGAAACCTGATGTACTTATTAGGGCTGGGCGATTTTTTCGGTTTTCACGATTAATCGCATTTTTACTTTCCTACGGTTTGTGAAATGGCTAAACCGAAAAACCGCGATTTTTTTTTGGATCTGTAATCAAAAAGCTCCTCAAAAACACTATCGAAGCAGTTCCTGCCGTTGCTAGTTAGTTCAAACAGTAACAACGCACTATTTTTCTTAGCGGATGCATGTCAATTTAAATCAATACAAAACTATTTTTTAAATCAATAAAATCATTTTCTAAATCCATAAAAGCATTTCAATTAATATTGGGAGTCATGTCGTTACTTTGCTGAGAATTTGGCCATGTAATAAGCGGGATAATGTGCACATTGCACATTGCATAATGTGCCTTCATGCCGATCCCTCCGCAAAAAAAACGGCTCGTTCGCGGGCGAGAGCCGGCTCCCGTCGTTCACTTAAATAGTTCGCGACCGACACATCACTACGACAGACGTAGCATACAAATGTCCACGAACACAGATGAAGAAGAACTCATTCCTAAAAAAGGTACCACTTCAGTAAGTTCAGTTGTATGGAAGTGGTTCGGGTACAAGCAGTCAGACATAGAACAAACAACTGTTCTGTGTAAGGTCTGTAGAAAGACGATCGCTGCAAAACATGAAACACAACCAACTTATTCCAGCACCTGCGACAGAGACATGCAGTGGTGGAAGCTACATGAAGCTAACTTCCCAAGACTGAGTTATCTGGCCAAGAAATATCTCTCCATTCCTGCCACAAGTGCCCCTTCGGAGAGGGTTTTCAGTACGGGGGGTAATATTGTAACATGCCAAAGAGCATGCCTCAAGCCAGAGGCAGTAGACAGGCTTGTCTTCCTCGCGAAAAACCTGTAGAAAACTTCCTAGAAAGTTAAAGGGATGTTATTTTGTTTGAGGGTATTTTTTTATTATCATTATTTGTTGTATTTGTATCATTCAACATGATGATATTTTTAAATGATGAAACCAGTCTGAAGTGATTTTTTTGTTTAATGCCAACAGCAAGACTAACCTGGAATTCATGCGTTGCAATTATTCTAATGGTTAACTTCCTGCAAGCTATAACAAACCCCAATATTACCTTTCCTGAAATCAACATCCTGTAACCTGATTTATTTTGGACATGTTTTTCTATTTCACTATTATATTAAAAACATATAACAATATATATTTTATTTTTTAAAATGTTTAACTGATGACCTATAGCCTTTATATTTTGTATTGGAACATAACAAAAACATATTTCATAAAACAGTTTTACATTTTCAAAGATATATGAGGCTTTATACTTTATTTTAATTTTCTTTGAGATATGATTTGTTGAAATGATTGACAAAAGTGTATAATGTATATTTTTCTCACATAACTAAATATGCAACCCAAATTATTCTGGACAGTGATATTTAATAGGTTTTCTTTCCATGCAGGTGCATTTGGAAATAATAGAAATGTTGAAATTGAAATGAAACCAGATGCAGTCAACATTTCTAACATCAGATTCAGTATTGGCATTTTTTTCATCCGTGAACCTTTGTTGGAAATGTGGATGATCCCAAAATAAAATGTCAAGTCCTCGCATCTTTACTCCAACCATCTGTTTTATTCTTCTTTTTACTCGCCATACTTAACTCACCACATCCAGGAGGATCCATATCATTTCAGAAAAAAATCGAGGTTTAAATCGAAAATCGTCCATTAGTTAGAAAAAAATCGAGGTTTTATTTTTAGGCCAAATCGCCCAGCCCTAGTACTTATATGATTCTGTTTTCTTCAAGGTTGTGTCTTCCTGGTCGAATGTACTTATTGTAAGTCGCTTTGGACAAAAGCGTCAGCTAAATGCAATGTAATGTAATGTAATCATACAGTCAATAACTTTGTTGTTATTAGCATCTGGTTAGCTAGCTATGCTAACGAATATAAGAAGCTTTTTCTACAACCAGTGAGGTAGAGGCACATCTTTATATCATCATTATAGTTGTAAAAAAATAAGAGAATAAAGTAAACAGGTATAAAATACTATATGACAGTAAAAAAAAGTTGTTATTAATAAACAAGAATACAGTTTAAAAGGAGAGTGATTTGTAAAATATCCATAAAGAAAAATAAAATCTGCTTACAGTTCTGTTTCTGGGTGTTGAGAGATGTATCCATAGATCTCCTAATGTTGCTCTCAAAGTGCACCAGATTGATGTTTTTAACTTCAACGTTTAAAAAAAAAATCTAGCATATTATCACATGTAGACATTGACATAACCAGTTTCTTTTGTCAACTGGGCTTACATGCACAATATGTCATTTTCCGACCACAAGTAATCTGTCAATCAAAACAAGTACAAAAGACAATTTTGAAGTAGCACGGGATCGTAGAATTTGCTTTCCTCACCACTGTTGCCATCATCCTTTTCTTCTATGGTTAAAAATAAAGAAGATTCAAAAAGTATATTATAAAATTGTGGCTTGAGACGAGATAAAAAAGCGATTTATGACGTATGATGTTTCTGGAAGGTGATTCCACAACATTACAGGCGACCACACACAGAAAGCTACCTTGATGAAAAATAAACATTTCTGTTTGATGTAAAACTGTATGAAACCTTTGTGATAATGTAAGAACACAACTATTACTACTACTAAAAATATTAAAAGTATAACATATAACAAATATAACGTAGGTCTAGACAATTTTAGACATTTTATTGCAGCTGTTTCACTCACATAGGCATCGTCACAGGTCTGGATGGTGTGGTGGCGCTGCAGCTGTCCACGGGACCTGTAGGTGTCAGGCTGGGGAGCCCGCGAATAACCAACACCATTATGGTCAGGCACCTCCATGGCCTGCCCCTGGGGCCTGCACTCCACATGTTCAGATTCTGAGAAAAGAGAAAGACACTGATTATACGATGTAATGATTTTTCATTTAGGCGAAAAAAAGGTTATTCAGTGTAGACTCCAAGTGGTTGTTTTGACACCTAGTTTCTTGATTTATCACTGCAGAGCCCAAATATATTTAGTTTTATATAATATAAAATAGAACATCTCTATATTTGAGAGGCTGACCATTTTGGCATGAAAAACAACTGAGGATTCATTAATTATCAGTTTTTTCTGTTGGTCCACGTAACGAATGAAAAGTCATTGCTGCCGCTTTAAAGGACAAACACTGGACTATTGTGTTTATAACAGAAAAGTATTTTTGCTCACCTACTTGCTCTGATAATACCATTGTGTGATTCTTACTTTCTAATGTTTATATCTATTAACTGGCTTTCACGTCTTTGCTAGACTCGTTAAAAGTCCTTATTAAGAAGATTTTATGCAATGTTGTTAGTTACAATCTATGTGCACCACCAGTCGGACCTTCATCTTCTGTTGAACTGAGAACTTCCTGATACTGTCTCCCTAAGTTCCAGAATGCTCCGTTCCTTATCGCCAAGCTTGACTCCCCCTTTTCTCCTCCCTGTGTTTAAATATCCAACGTGAACTCTATTCTGTCTTCTACTCGGCAGACAGTATGCTCTCTGTATTACTGACTGAACTTTCTTGCAAAAAATTAAATATGATAAAGACACTTGAATGGTTATTTTTCCACATTTGACAAATTCAAAATACCAAAAAAAATGTCTTACCTCTAGTTGCTGGAGCGTTCCTTATGTATCCACCCTGGCTGTGTGTAGGGGAGGTGTAGGGGGGGGGTGCCTCCTTGGGGCGGCCCCAGGAGCTCATGACCGTCTCCTGCCTTGACCAGCAGGCCCTCGTGTGGGTGGTGGTAGCTCGCCGGCACCTCGTCCTCCTCCATGCTCTCGGAGTGGGGTAAGCTGGGGCAGGGTGCCTGGGCCGGGTGCTGCTGCGGCTGCACCTCTGGGGGTCGAATCTGGAGCAGGTGGTGGTAGTGTTGGCCCCCGGGGGCCCCCTGCGGTGCCTGCGGCTCCAAGGTCTCACCCTGGCTTAGCTGGCGGAGAAGCAGCATCTCGCCGTACTCTTGAGGTGACCCGCTGGGTGGGCTGGGGGCCGCTTGGCACGGCCGGGGGCTGTGCCTCTTCAGCAGGGCAGCCAGGTCCTGGGGGGGCAGCCTGGGATCGCAGTGGCCTGTTAGAGAGTGGCGGGGGGACAGAAGGCCCTGCAGGGTGGGAGTGATGTGCTGTTGGGGGGGGGCGGTAGTCCAAAGGAGTCGGGGAGAGCAGGGCCTGCTGGAGTGTCGAGGGGGGGCCGTAACCGCCGGCCCCAACTCCCCCATAATCCTCCAGGCCGGGGACTGTGAGGGAGGTGCCCTGCAGGTAGTGGCCGTAGGCGGCCCCCCGGGACATGGCGTCGCCAGAGAAGAGGTGAGGGTTAAACTGCGCCTGGTCATAGGCCGATGTGAAGCGGCCAAGGCTGCGACTGTAGAGGAAAAGGCAGAGGACAATTAGCTAGCTGAAACATCAACAACCCTCTTTATAAAGTGCAAGTAGGAATTTATTTATTGACTTTTAGCTTTCACTAATCAACAGGAAGCCTTCATTAAAGCATGGCACACTGACAGCCTAGCAAACACTTGAGCTCAATTTCAGGTGAAAGTATTCGCTGAAAGTTCTAAAAACTTTTTCACGAAAAGGGCACATTTAGATTCATCAAGGTATTAAAGTTTGTGTCACTTTCTCTCAGTGAAGACAGTCCTGGTTTAAGGGGACTTTTGAAAAGCCAGGGGTTACAGGATGACTAATCTCATACCTACTGTTGAGACTGCTACATATACTTAAAAAAGACTGACACCTGAAAACTCACCTAGCTACACTTAGGTGGAGAATTTGTTGAGGATGTCATCTCAGCAAAGAGGATTGGGGGATTTACATACATGATTTGAATACTGGTAACAAATAAAGTCTGAAATCTCTCACATAGAACATCTGGTATGGGCAACAGTATTATTGGCTGAAATGTCCAAATACAATTTGTAGAAAGAGAGAGGATAAAGGAAAAATATAAAACAGAAACAGTGAGAAACACATAATGATGAACATAAAAGACAACAAATAGCATGGAGGTGTCCTAAGAGTGGTGAAGTCATAGAGAGAAATGAAACAAAAGATAAAACAAAACCAAAAACGGAAGAAGACGACACAGAAACAGTCCATTGGTAATGTTGAGAGGCTTTGGCCCGCCATCGGGGGACGTGCTGACAGGATGGGCGGGGTCACCTGTGCATCTCGGCGTTGTCTGCGCTAAGCTGCTTCCCGAGGACTCTGTGCCCAGGCGTGGTCAGAAAGCCGCCCTGTCTCTGTGCTACACCACCCAGCTCCACCTCCTGAACCTGAATGGTCACCTGTAGAAACAGTCAATATTCATTATTGAGCAAAGATACATGTAGACCCTCACTTTTTGCTTTACATTTTTTTTTAATATGAGCAAAGAGGAAATGCGATGGGCTTTTTGCAGTCACCTGCTGTTGTAGAGGTACACCCTGTGCCAATGGGACGGTGGGGCGGGCAGAGGCTGCTTGTTGATTGGTTGGTATAGAGACTCGAGACATGCCTGTGGGGGGCGGGCTGCCACTCTGGGCCTGGTACATCGCTGGGGAACCGTGCTGGTACTGCACTTGTGACGGACATACTAGGAGAGGAGGAGAGGGGAGAGGGGTCATGATCTGCATCATCATACAAATACTCTTTGATTTCTTGAAATTAAATAAAACGTTTAAAATTAAGTTCAGAAAATGGACCCTGAGGAAGTTCAAAGTCTAACATACATTCATTCATGAACCTTTGCCTATTTTTCTTCATTTAGATCCCATCATTTGGTATTTTTCCAGCAAGAAACGCTGCTTGGAAGAGTGCTACCTGCATTTATATTACCGCTTTTTAATTAGTTTTTAGGCTTGATACCGATAGGCTATCTCAGTAATTGTTCCGATAGACTACGTTAATCAAATCAGTTGTTATATCAACATATTAATCACAGTTTATTGTGCACTTGTTGATTGATGTGTTTACTCACCTGGTGCCCTTGGTCACAACATATTCATTGCGTCAGCATAAACTAGGACTTCCAGTACATTATTCTTTACACAGTGTCGGGAATGAACGCATGTCATTTGTCAGTGTTTGTTAACAGATGACAAGGCCAGTGAGAAATGAAGAGTCTGAATTACACCCCCAGTGTATCCATTTCAAAATAAAAAAAATAATGTATTAAATCAGATAATCTGTAAGACTAAAATAGTACTGAACAAACAGTCAAAAGGGGAGTTTGATAACCAGTCTTCTATTTCTATAATCTTTCAGAAGATTGAGACCAAAGGAAGATGGATCTATACATCTCTCACAACATCAGTTGTTTAGAAGCATTTCCATCACACTCCTGCAATGGTATTACTAACCATGCCCTTGCATCATGCCTGCAGAGCCGGGCGGAGGGCTCTGGTCGGGCTGTCTGAAGAGGTGGTTGCTGGGATGTGTTGGCGGAGGGCTGGAGGGCTGGATACGCAACCTGAGGGAGGAGAGCACAGAGCAGGAGGAGAGGAGAGAGAGAGATACCACAATGATGTAACACTTCAGTCGATAGCACTGCACCACGGCATCAAGTTCATTGTTCACCACTCAATAGCTGATGAGTAATGTGTGTGTGTGTGTGTGTGTGTGTGTGTGTGTGTGTGTGTGTGTGTGTGTGTGTGTGTGTGTGTGTGTGTGTGTGTGTGTGTGTGTACCTCTGGAGCTGGTGGGTTAAATGACTGGGCTGGCTCTCTCCATGGCCTAAAGACAGACCCTGCAGTAGAGAAAAATGTTAATTTGGCGCTGAAATAAATGTAATTATTTGACATTTCAAGAACCTATTAAAGTTTCATCAAAATATGAGATGAACTCATTACCCCAAAGAGAGTTTTGTTTTGTTATGGCGGTTATATAAATGCTTTGGTGCCGTTAGATTGCGGTTGTACCTCCCTTCGTAAGGCAGCAAGCGGGAGAGCAAACTGTTTTTTAGCTGCAGTGAAACTGTTGTTTGTTATTGTGAATGTTTGTAAGTCTGAACACACTTCTTCTACAGGTAGTTTTATATTAACAATGTTAGTGTAGCCTCATCTATTACCTGCTACTGAATTTGAACGTCAACATTATGAACCAAGCTTAAAGGCTTTTAAACTCAGTACCGTCCTATTAAGTTTGACTGAAATCTTCAATATGAGATGTTTTGACATTTTATAAACAATTAATCAAGAAAATAAATTGCAGATTTAGTTCTAATAAAAATGGTTTTAAGTTGCAGCCCTGTTGGCCTGTTCATTTTAACCCAAGCAAGTTCTGCACTGTCAGTACACAAACAACTAATATCTAAATGTTCCGTCACAAGAGCAGATCACGACCAATTTTGCCGATTTAAATCCAACCTGTTGTCTATTGTAGCATTGCTTGAAAATAACGAGTATCCTTTCCTCACGTTATGCCCCTCTTAAGGTACCCTCCGAAGAGTCCAATACTCCTGCGTGACAGATTATAACCGATTGCAAACATCAGAATGCTTCTGAAAAGCACCATGCACAGAGTTTGGTTTCGGCCTGTAGTGACGTCTTTATGACTCGTCAGCGTCTCACACCTGGATTTGCTGGTGGAGGATTTGTTGCTCGTGCTGGTAGAGGATATGCTGTTGCTGGGTGTGCTCCAGGAGTCGCTCATCCTGCTGAGCAGCATACATTTTCTGCAGCTGTTCACACTCCTATTGGAAACAAAGACAGGATTCCCAAATAGTACATTCATGTGCCAAAGGGGAAGTAGCTCTAACAGAGGGTAAAGTGTTGGATGTAGAACAGACGCCGACACTTTAAGAAAATGATCCATCAATGGCTGCAATTAACTATTTGTCAGATCACCAGAGATAGTTGTTTGACAAAAACAATTGTATTCATATTTAACTTGTCTGGCAGAAATACAAAATGTGTAATATCTATGTAACCTTCGTTCACAAATTCTTAACCCTGGCCCTGCACTTGTTGATGTCCAGTCAACAAATCCCTTTAACCGGGTCTATAGTAGGTCATGTGTGAGTTAACCTCTCCGTATTAACCCTTTTAACACGTAAAAGAAATCACATAATCCCAACATGCGAGAGCACGCCTACAATTAAGCGCCCATGATGATTATCCTCCCGCCCCAACCTCTTACCGGGTGAGGTAATCCCATTGAAGTGTACTGCGGATGATGTGATGTCTCGAGAGGTAGCTTGAGGTTAGCATTACCTAGGTAATGCTGTATGTACTGGATTACAGCAAGTCTAATTGTGTCAAAGTTGTATCCCTGTCATTATCATCTGTCAACACTTTTGCCTTTTCTGGAACTCCAGACATTTGACCCTTGTGAAAGTAACATTTAAGTGGTAGTGTTTCAACACCATCTTTTTACAAAGCATTTAAAGTGCTGATTAAATGTATTTTTATTTATTTATTGAATGGCACCCGTTACTGTACAGTTAGTGTATTGAAATGTGTGACATTTGCCAAGTGAAAGAGTAGAAATATGCCATTTGTGACCTTGTTGTAGAACTGATTAGTCAACTGATCAATTAAAATAAATAAATATACATTTCCATATAAAAATGGCCGAACGAAATGTTAGTCTCTCAAATGTAGGTTGTTGTCTGAGTTTGTACTGTTTTATATATTATTTCTTGTTTATCCATCAGGATAAAACCCATGAGATGAACCACCAGTTTATTTCAGTGGTTCCTAACAATCCCATTAAACTGAATATTTTTGGGTTTGGGAATGAAGAAACTGAACATTTAAAAACATTATTGATCTTTGAGGAACTGGCTTGGACATTTTGTTTATTGTTTTTCTGAAATTAGTTTATTTATGATGTGAATAATCTTTAGTTGCTACCCTACCCTGTTAGCTTGTCAAAACTACCCAGAGCTAGCTCCATGCTCTGCCAGTTTCACTGAGCGACTCATTTGTCGCCTGGACAGTTATCCTATTCACCTTGCACTTTTGTTAACCCCTGGTCTAATCTTAATGTACCCTTATCATGCCACTCAAAAGGATAAGAAATACTTTATCCCTCTTGCTTAAACATTAGAAAATCCTAAAGACTTGATCTGCCCTCCAGGAAAATCACATTGGATCCTTCTCATTAAGCTAACAGAAGCTTCCCTGCGTCCTCTTTCCTCCTTTGACCTGGAACTCATTCCCACTCAACTATAATGAAGAATAGGTCAGATACATGAATTGCGATGTGTTATGGCATCCCACAAAACAGCAGTTTGGTATCTGTTTGTTTTAATTTACAATAAAGTTTTTTTGGTCAATTGAAAGATGATGATAAGGGGATATCAAATTGTGTTTAAAAGTACTGTTGATGCTCTTAACAAGGTCATGGTAAACTGGCCTGCTGACCTAGGTAGATTAGTGGAGACTTAAAAGCTGCCTTGGCCTAATTAAAACCGCTAATGTGAGCATTCGTACCACAATCAGCTAAGCGGCAAGTAATAAGTAAGTGACGTCAACAACCAAGGATTTCTCCTTTAGCCGCCTCCGACCTCGCATCTCTCTCAGATCCTGGCTGGGAGGAGCGAGGACACGAGGAGGAGTTTGTGAGTCAAGAGAGAATGAAAAGCTTCCATTGAGTCAGATATGACTGATGGCACTGAGCTTACTTGGGATAATACTTTATGTCCTTTGTTTAGTAGAAATTAGGTATTCAAAACTTAAAAAAGGAAAACAAGTTCAAACGTAAAAGACTATTTCAAAATCATGATCTCCTTACTGTAGCTTTCTTCTTTACACTGAAATGGTAGCTGAGCCCAGAAAAGGATCATTAGGTAGCAACAGTCAGCATATAGGGGGGGGGGGCCCGCATCTAGTTTATTACTGTTCTTGCACCAACTGCTGATTCACTGAACTCGGCTCAAAAAGCAGATCTGCAATACCAGGGACCTTCGGTTTGTATCCCCAAGAAACCCATTGCATCAGAATAGTTGCCTGGTATCACTATTTCGGCACTTTTTTGTCTTTAAGGCCACATTTGTTTTCGCCATTGTTTGCAAGCATGTATTACCCCTCCCTTTGTGAGTCTCTGAAATGGCAGGGGGGTTACAACAGACAACAAACCAGAGGGGAACTTTTGAAACTTCGGCACCATGTGAAATCATTTTTTTACAGTATTGATCATTAACTATGGACCTTTACGCAGAAATGTTTTCCTATTTTCCCCTACACATACTCTTGGATATTAAAGTGTCCCTATTATGCGGTTTGGGGTATTCCCTTTCCTTTGTTTACTTCCGTAACATAGTGACATCCATATGTAACACTCGCACTTCTATTAGCTGCAGAACAGGCGGTATGAGAAAATAAATGCCTTTATGAACATTAAAGCATGTAAACATATCACATATCGTAGAGGCATAAAATACAATTATGAGCATAATATGTTCTCTTGGAGTAAGGTGATGTACCTGTTTGAGTTGCTTAATGATGCTGCTGTTCTCTAGATGAGCCTTGAAGGCTTGGATGGTGGCTGCGCCGTCAGAAAAGCGCCTGACAGGGGAGAAGCGCTCCATGGGGAGATGAAGGGTGTTACAGTCCTTATAGCTCGATCTGAGGAGGAATCCACATGGGGAAGACACAAACACGTCCACACAAAAACAAACACCCACATGACAGATGACACATTGACACACACATTCAAGCGTACAGACACAGAAACACACAGATAAGAAACTTGAGCTCTTCATGTCAGCACAAAATATTACAAGTTCATGTGTCAGCCTGTGATTTATTGAGTGTAGAAAAATTGATATGTCAAACAAATCCAGCTACATCCTTTCAATTATTTCATCCATCCTGCCAGGATCATGACAGGGAAGAAGACTCCAGGTTATGGAGCAAAGTTGTAACTTCAAAATGTCTCATATTAACACCTTTGAGCTGACACGTTGTTTACTGAAGTTCATCTACAACCAGAGTTCCCGTTAGCCGGTAATTACCGGACTATGACCGGTAAAATATGTTGAAGACCGGCAAATCTAAATCTCTCAAGTCAAAATGTCCGCTCAAAATAATTTCCCCTTAGTGCAATACCGCATCAGTTGCGCCACTTATGTGACAGACAAGAATAGTCAATTCTAATGTCTAACACTTAATGTGGAGAAAGAGATGTCCTGTATGGGTTGATTGTGCGTTGATCTGTTGGTAATGCCTCGGGGTTCCGGTGGGCATGTAAACAAATGCATAATGCTGCGCTACACTTTGCGGCCTGACCCGGTTGCATAGCGACGGTTATTGTTTAGGTGTCTTTTAATAAGCAGGTAGTCCTATCATTAGCTAGAACTAGATGGATCTGATCGATATGGACATAAACGCGAGTGAAGTCTAATCTGACGGGAGAGAGAGATCAGCTGCTGCTGACGAGTCGACACGCAGCTCTGCATGATCACCTGCAGCGGTGAGCGGACAAAACACACACTTCAGGTTAGAATATCACACGTAGCTATTTTAATTACCTCTCAAATTACCGTAACTAGTTAGATATGTTTAGTTTTACTGTCGTGTCACTCATTACTGGATCCGTGAGCTGCATGATACTCACGGGCTGTCAGGAGAGGGAGAGAGCGCTCAGTTTATTATTCCCGTGTTATTGTAAGTTACTGAACACTTTTGAATAGTTAATCTACTATAATTAGTTTGTTTAATATCGAATCATATCAATTTGTTTGAAAGCTCAATAAATAACAAAGAAGACCTTTGAACGGCACTTTTCTCATTTTGTGCGAAGATTTAAACTTTAACGGACATTTTGACCGGCAAAAAGATATTCTAACGGAAACTCTGTCTACAACACTGAGAATTTAGGACGTTAAAGGAAAGCTTCTTGAGAGTTATGTTTCTACTTAAGAGCTCTTTACTAAGCACTACACAGAGGAACATCTGTCACCAGTGGCAAGATGAGGACATAATCTACTTTTCATTGCATAGCATAGAGCACATAAACAACTACAATGAGTTGGCATGCAGATGTTGAGCAGATCACAGCATCTGTTTGCTAAAACGTTTTCCATGAAAAAAGATACCACTTCTAGCTTTACACCGGTATTGTAGCTCTACAGAGCGTGTGATTTCCTTCAACAATTCAGCACACATTGTCCAACAGGTTCTGCTTCTCACTGCATCCAAATACTAAAGGACACCTATCTCAAAACACTTTTTTTAAACGGAGTTGGAGAAGGATGATACTTATGGGGGTCAACAGCTAGAATTGGACAACACAGAGAACACTAAATGTGGCTGCTACAGGAGGGAGAATAAATAGAAGTCAAGATTTAGCTTTTGGGAGGTTGTTCGTACAAGAACAATCTGCTAAATCTGATCTGGTCACATACCTGATTTTTCCACGTTTATGAGGAAATAAGGGTTATTCTAAATGCACTGGTGATGTAGAGATATGTCTGTCATGTGCCACACCCTCCAATCTCATACACCACTTTTGACAAAAACATATTTTTCCTCCTTAGAAGGTGTGAAACCTTCTCACATGGTGAGAGAATATTCTCACCAATGTGTGTGTGTGAGATCAACTGTAAGTGCAAGAGTGTGTGTGTGTGTGTGTGTGTGTGTGTGTGTGTGTGTGTGTGTGTGTGTGTGTGAGTGTGAGAGAGAGAGAGAGAAAAAGATAGAGTCAGGCTTACTATGCCCCTCATTAAATGTGTGTTTGTGTGTGAGTTTTTGTGCATATACGGCTCGGAGCGGGTGTGTCCCCTCACCGGGTGTGTGTGTCGAGGGCCCAGCCCCCCCTCTGGCGGGGGCCCTGGGGCCGCTGTGACTCTGCCGAGGGCTCGCCATGCGATGTGCTCATGAGCGCGTGCGTCGTGTGCCGCTTGGAGCGGTTCGCCAGGTACCTGGGCCGCAGGGAGGGGGGAGGACGGGGGTGAGGGTGGGAGACAGGAAGCAGTGCTGGTCAGCTCTCTGTCCTCATTGGCTAATGGAGACGGGGGGATAGGCCTGCCCCTTCCCATCTCTGCCATCATTCATATCATCTTAGCCAATCAGAAAAAAACATTTAATGAAATTACATCATAGATGGATGTTATAGCTTATGGGTATCCCACACCCACACCCCCCAGCTTCCAATTTAGGATTGGACTGGATGTCTTCTTTTTGTTATCATTCATTTTGCAAGCTTCAGGGTTAGCAAAGCTGTGTGCGAAAGAGTGAGAAAGGTTGGAGAATAATTTGGCACTTGTTGAAATGAAAGAGATAAAGAAGCTTTTGGCCAAAAGGTTTGAAAGATAGTAGGGCTGGATTTGGTGGCAGAGTCAGTTTGAAACTGTGGCAGAAGGCACTTGCGCGATGGAGAAAGGAGGAGAGATGGGGGGTAAGCACCACAGCAGAGTGGCCACCTCCCGTGGGAAAAAGCAGAGCAGCCTGGAGGCACTCACTCCCAGCAACCCAGGACACCAGCACAGTCTACAGAAGGTGCTGTCTGAAGAGGAGCAGCTGGAAACTGGACTTCTTAATCAAGATCACAACTCCATACACCAAGCCTGTGTTTTACCCTGTCCTGATTTCAACTCAAACTACGTCAATGCTCTGAATTGGGATGACTTTTCTGACCTCTGACATAAAACAACTATAAACCCCCACTGTGTGGTTCTGTTATGTTTTGGATAAACCCAGTGTTTTTGCATTTCCATGTTCAAAAAGTAATTCTCAAAATCAACAAATAAATGTATCCCACTTCTAATATTTCCTGTGATTGTCGTACAAAAAAAGGAATACCATCCTGCGTGCGACTAGTCAATATTTAAGGCTGATCAAAAAACTAAGAATGCAGTGATTTATTCCTGTATTTAAAATCAATAGATTATAATAAATGTTGTGAGATAAAGTCTCAAAAGAATAAATGTTCACCTAAATAATAATAGCCTCAGATTATCCAGTTTAGACAGCACCCCTGTACAGAATTCCCCACCACCAAAAGCCGCGGGTTACCTCTGCACGGCCTCTTGGTCTGGCTCTCCATCCGAACCCTCCTCATCCACCGGAGCTACAGCAGGGATAGGGTGCTGGAAGAGGCAAAGAGTTTACAGTCAAAACTTCCGACAGTTTTATATGAGGGGATATTATAAAAGACATCCAGATCCTCACCGGACTGGCGACAAGCGGTGAGGGCCCCCGGGGCCTCTTGAGGAGCTGAGCATGAAGTTGAATGTTGGCCCCGCCGTCGGAAGCTCTTCGACCCAGAGGCCCCATGCCGTTGAGCAGCTGCAGGGTGGGGGGCTGCAGCAGAGACTGCTCCTGGAGGATCGGCAGAAACAGGGAGTCAGATAGGCTAATATTTAGACCATCCACATGCATTTCTGAAAAGTAATTTATTATTCTGAGAAGTCTTCTAATAATGGATGCTTCGATAAACCAAAAAAATAATCGATCAGGAGATTGGCGTTATTGCTTTGTAGTTGCCAGTTGAGGCAGGAATGGGGACAAACTAGTACTGCACACCTGTAGGTTAACACTCGTACCTGCAGCTGAGAGCAATAAACATGTTTATGTTTGTAGTCCCGCCTCCCAGTTCACATTGTCATGCAGGATCTACACATGTGGTTGCTAAGGCGTACTACTAACAGTCGGTTGGTGGCATGTTCCTAATTTAGGGAGCTAACGGTTAACCTTTGGGTTGTATTGCATTACAGTAGGATAAATTACCTGTGGACGAAATTTAATTATATCATGTTGTGTTCAAATAATATAACATTTTATTTTTGATAAGGCAATTCAATAAATACAGTTTGAAAACATGTTTTCACACCAATGTAAAATATGAGTTAGAGTGGGAATGTATACATGTGTTCCTGTGTAATATGTATTTCCTAACACAAGTTTATTGAACATAATTGCAATACTAGTCCAATATATTTTTAAAGCAACTATTAAATATATAAAATAATCAATTACAATACAATATTAAAAAAATGAGGATCCTTTGAATAGTGTGTTATCCTAAAAACAATAACTGCAGATAACGAAACAAAGTAAAAGGTTAACAATGACTTTGGGAAGTTTAAACTATTTGTCAGGATGGTTCCGGGACAATGATAACAATGTGAAGTCTACAGCCTTGTTTAACATCTGCTTTAACAAAACAAAAACAAAAACTGTATCAAGTAACTAGGCTCATCGACAAGTTACTACTGCCACAAATGTACAACATTCTACTACGACTGTACCTTGTACTCCAGCTGCTGGGTGGGCTGCAGGCTCTGTGTGGGCATGAGAGTGTGCATTTGGCTCATTTGAGGGGCCAGTGGGGGGAAGGGGGGCTGAGGCACTGCCCCACGGGGGAACCCTGGTGGCAGTTGCTGGAGGTCCTCCTGCATCTCTGTCCTGTGGGTGGAGAAGGGAGGATGTCAGGAAGGAACCCACACTCCACTATAACTGCCCACAGAATATTGAATAAACTAAAAAAAAACTAGACTAACCTGACTAAAAAACCCAGCATACACCATCTTTTGACAAGAGCGTTAAATAAATAAACTAAGATAATATGACAATACAGTGCATACATGGAAGTCCTGAAAGATATAGACTAACTTTCACCAAAAAGTTGTTATGGAAAAAAAATGTAAGGAAATAGCAGAGCTGTAGAATATAAAATACATTTTGTGATATTGTAGCACTAGGTTATACATCACTGATGGTAGATCAGAGAGTTGTGTTTAACCTTTGGTCTGGTACTCCCACAGTGTGCCGCCTCATCGAAAGGTAGCGCGCCATGGCCTCAGGAGACGGCTCCTCCCCTTCATCGCTGTCCAGTGCCATGTTGCCATCCGGCTAAACAATAAATAGACACATATTTATTATTATTAATGCCCTTTAATTTGTGTGTTGCATGCTTGGGAACATTTGTGGATCATATACATTTTGTATGTTTTTCAAATTCACGGGATGTTGGATATTATCAGACACCAAAGTGTATTATTTAGTGGCACATTTTAGCATTTTTTAACAGTGATCGTTTCAAAGAAATGTTATTTGTTCAACTGCTTGAATCTGCTCAAATGTAATTATGTGGGAAACACTGCCATTCAGAAAATACGTGCTTAAAAGTTAATTTCTTCTATTCAAATCCCTGCTGCAATGCAGTAATCTGACACATTCTCGTGTTTCACAGCATTTGTGAGTCAGCTTGGTGTGTGTTCTGTTTGAGTGTGTGTGCATGTGTAATTATGTGTATCGCAGATGGATCCAAAGCTACACTGACAGTAGTAAACTGTAGTAGTAAAGCGAGAATACCGGACAGCCAGTGATTACATAAACAGAGTTAGTTTACAACATGGTCGTAGCTTGTTTAACAGTCTTGATGACCGTCGCTGCCAAGGTCATGTAAACGTCACTCACCTCAACAATCTGGTTCTCTGGGTTGATGAGCTGGACGTGGGGAACGGTCATGCTAACGGGATTACCCTGTGGATCCGTCTGTTAGCCACGAACACAGACGCAAGAAGGGTTACGATTAGACTAATTTTCTGGCAAAGCGATCCCACTTGTGCAAAGGGATTGGCAGATGTGGGTTAAAGCAATCACCTCCACTCAGAGCACAGTCTGAAGAACCCTTAAACAAAACTACTCTTCTTCAAGCTGTCACAATCAACTGTTGATTGTATGACACTGAAGGAGATCTTGATAAAATTGCATTATATCCGCAAATCAGTTCATACATATTATTACATTTCATTGTGACGACAGAAAAAGCATACTATTAATCAGATAATTAAACAGTGTCTTAAGATCAACTGTCCCACTGCTTCTAAAAACCTTTTTCTACAAATGTATACTTACTAGCCACCTTAATAACCCCAAAACCCTCAAATATGATCAAAGCGAACCAATTACTGACCTAGGAATGTTGAAAATATATCATCACGTCATGCTAACAAAGTAAACAATTAATTACCTGTACGGCGTTTAGAGGATAGCTAATGGAGCGTGGTGTAGGCGGGGCCACGCGCAGGGTCTTGTGTTTCTTGAGGCGGTCCGCCAGCAAACTGTAGATGGCACTGTAGTGATCGTATGCATCCGTTTGTAGGGACTAGAGAGGAAGAGGCAGGATAAATACAAGCGGTAAGATGATTTTTAAATAGGGCTCTAATGCTTTTATGCTAAATTGTGATGGTCTGGTGCATGTAGCCAGATGATAAGAAACACTTCCTCATGCACTTAGTTTGCTTTCCCTTTGTAGCGAGCTCACAAAGAACTGTGACTCCTACGCAGCGTTTACTGTGGCTTATGTGTACCGTTACAGCCGTCCTTTACACAGCAAGTAGTTTTAATTGATTTGTGCGGATCAGCTTCGTATTTGTTCCCAACCTGAAGTGTGCGCTCTCGGTCCAGGCCCATCTCACACATGGCTATCAGCACCTGCTCATTGATGAGCTCCGTGTCTCTCTCCGTCTTCACCTGCTCACACTCTGCTATCAACTGGAAAAAAGAGAAGACACATTTTTTCCACAGTTCAAGGCACCTAATCCATAAAAATGTACTTAAAGAAGTAGTTTGAGATTGCGACAGATTTCAGGTGGTTACTGTGAAGAACTATGAGAAAGTCGGGAAGAAATAGTATGGCGTTTTTTTGGCATACAAGCAAATTCATTAAGCATAATCGAAATTAACCTTAACCCGTTTTATTAAAAGGAGCTGGTCCCAAATGTATGCATTGAGTTAGTTATACATTTGAAATTATCTGATTTTCAACATATAAACGTATCAGTAACTAATTCAACCTTACCATCTCTAATATCAAATTATTTGGCAAGACATTTTTTTTTTTTTTAACACATTCAGTAGAAAATGCAGATCGGAGATGAGTCATCTTTGCAAGAATGACACAAACACACTAAATAATCCAATTTTACACGATTTGCAAAAAATACCATGTGCAGTCAAAGAGAAACCCACGACCTCAGAGCAAGGTGAAAAATGAGTCCGATTTGATTTGCTTCATGAGACATGATCATATAATGTCCCTATAGATATCCACTGCTGAACACTTGTCGCGGGGGCTCACCCTGTCGAAGTCTGGGTCTGGGTCTCCTAGTCTCATCCACTTGTTCTTACAGATCTGCTCCATGGTCAACCGCCTGCTGGGCTCCAGCACTAACATGTGTCTGATCAAGTACTCACAGTCTGCAATAAAACACAACCATACATGAACCATTTGAAACTTAAAATAAATTAAAGCAACTTGACTGTTTGAAAACATGCAAAATGACACCGAAGATTACCAGTTTGTAATTTATGTGGTTTATAAAGAAAAGAGGGGGAAAAATCTAACTTTTCTTGTTTTTGGTATTTTTGTTTTATGTTCAAGAAGTTGATGTATGTGGAATGAAATCCTACCTGTAGACATGAAGAAGGGGATGCGGAATTTGCCACTGAGAACACGTGCCCGCAAATTTTGTAGAGTGCTGCCGTCAAAAGGCAGGGCGCCGCACACCAACACATATAACACCACCCCTAAGCTCTATAGATAGAAAAGACAGCGGGAAACAAACCATGAGTTCATCATTTTTTAATAGACTTAGACAAACAATTACTGCTATAATAAATAAATAGACAAGATAGCTGAAATTGTATACTTTATCTTAAAGGTCCCATGTCATGGCCATTTCCACTGATCATAATTCCATTGTTGAGGTCTACTAGAATAGATACTGTGCAATTTTCCAAACTCACATTGGTGTCGCATACAGCATCTCTTTAAAGTATGTGTATTCAGCAGTATTCACTTTCTCCACTAAACGGCTCGTTGCAGCTCTTGCCCCCCCTCCCCCTCCCTGTGAGCCCAGTGTGCTCCGATTGGTCGGGACCAGTCGGGACGTTGTGAATCGCGCTGAGCTCCGTGGAGGTGTGATTTCCTTGTTTAGCGATACGCAGCGAAACACAGCCAAACTCATCCTGAGCACACAAAGTCACAGCCGAAGTAAAAACAATAAGTGTGGCTTGATATTGAGTAAGAAAAAGGTTGATAAACGCTGTGAGAATGGGTCTGCAGAGAGAATGGGTCTGCAGAGAGAATGGGTCTGCAGAGAGAATGGGTCTGCAGTGAGAATGGGTCTGCGGAGAGAATGGGTCTGCGGAGAGAACGGGTCTGCGGAGAGAACGGGTCTGCGGAGAGAACGGGTCTGCGGAGAGAACGGGTCTGCGGAAGAGAACGGGTCTGCGGAGAGAACGGGTCTGCGGAGAGAAGGGGCGTTGGTCTGCGGAGAGAACGGGTCTGCGGAGAGAACGGGTCTGCGGAGAGAACGGGTCTGCGGAGAGAACGGGTCTGCGGAGAGAACGGGTCTGCAGAGAGAACGGGTCTGCAGAGAGACGGGTCTGCAGAGAGAACGGGTCTGCAGAGAGAACGGTCTGCAGAGAGAACGGGTCTGCAGAGAGAACGGGTCTGCAGAGAGAACGGGTCTGCAGAGAGAACGGGTCTGCAGAGAGAACGGGTCTGCAGAGAGAACGGGTCTGCAGAGAGAACGGGTCTGCAGAGAGAATGGGTCTGCAGAGAGAATGGGTCTGCAGAGAGAATGGGTCTGCAGAGAGAACGGGTCTGCAGAGAGAACGGGTCTGCAGAGAGAATTTCGCCGCGATCCCAACTGTCTGTTATCAGCCTGCAGCCAGGGAGGAGAAATCAGCAGAGCTGCTTGCACTGAGTGTGTGAGGAAGTCCGTGGATTGGTCAATTTGGACCAATCAGCGGGGGTTTAACGTAACGGCTCCGCGGACGTAACGTAACGGCTCCACGGATTGGTCCATTTCGTTGCGGGTACGGATGACATCATGCGTACCCGGAAGAATCAAATGGACAGTGACGTATCTCCAACGAGGCGTTTTGGGGAGGTATTTTCTGTGTTAGAGTTTTACTCGCTACAGGGTGTACTTTGAGGGTTTTGACTCTGCACACCGTTTACATGCATAAAAACCTTCATAACACACAAGGGGACGGGTACTAACCAGAAAAGCATGACATGGGACCTTTAAGACAGAATACTTTCAAGACGTCACATTCATTGAGACTATTTGTTGTTGTCTTTAAAGGTGGGGTAGGTAATTTTGGAGAAAGCAGCTCGAGTGCGCTAGAATTTGAAAATACACAGCCGGAAAAAATCTGCCACTTCCTCACAGAGCCCCTCCTCCAACACACACGTGCACATGACCAATGAGGGCACGAGATAAGTTTGTGCACAGATGGAAGGCTGACCGGCTAAAATTATTGGTCGTGCTTTTTACAGAGCTACGGCTTCCACAGATGACATTTTTTTATGGATGTTTTGTCAAAGCACTTAAGATATTCATTGCTATCGGGATGTTAAGAGCATTCCATGGAATATAACAAAAAGTGTATCTCGAGCCGGTTTCTCAAACTTACCTACCCCACCTTTAAGCCCATTAACTACACCATGCAGCTCAACAGGGCCTCCGACATACCTAAAAGCCTACTCACCCATATATCTACTTTGGGTCCGTCATACTCCTTGCCCTCAAAGAGTTCTGGTGCAGCGTAGGGAGGGCTGCCGCACCACGTCTTCAACAGCTGTCCTCGAGAAAACAGGTTACTGAAGCCAAAATCTGAGAGGGGGAGAGGAGAGGTAGGCTCATTCAATCAGACCGCTTTGCCCGACCGAGTTAATGTAATCAAGTCGAGAAATGTCTCCAGAAGCACATGTTGATACTTGCCAATGCCCAAACAAACAAGACAGCTTAAGACACCTGAATTAATTTTCTCACTCATACATTTTGAAGTGCAAACACACACACACACACACACCTGCGATTTTGATGTTGAGGTTGTGGTCCAGCAGGAGATTCTCTGCCTTCAGGTCTCTGTGGACGATGCTGCGGCAGTGGCAGAAATGGACAGCTGCCACAATCTGTTTGAACTTTTTCCTGGCGTCTTTTTCAGCCATACGCCCATGAGCCACAAGATGGTCTGTACACGCAAACAGTGTACAGTTTAGAGACTTTGGTACTTATCTTTGAATATACAGGAAGTAAAGAATGTGATTCTGTTCCGATTTGGCCAAATAAATTACAACATTGGATCATCAAGGAGAAATGTAGAAGGGATTTCATTTGTATTACTTAAGAAAGCTGAGAAATAGGACATAGCATAAGTGTTACAGAAAGGCATACGACTACAAATTAAGGAAGGTAATATTGGCAAAACATAAAAACAAGCGTTTAGTGAAACAAACAAAACAGCAATACAAGAATGGAGAAGCATTGCTAACGTACAAATGTAAAAAGTAAACCCTCTTATAACGAAAATGTTTAACTGGATTTAGATTTTCACTGGGTAAACTTGCAAGACAATTTAAAGACCTTGAAGTCCTGTAAGACATTTTTGAAAAGTCCGTTTTTAAAATATACATAATCTGTGTTATGACATGGTAAAAATGATATAAGAAACCAACAAAGCAGAGGGAAAGGGGAGGATGAGGACAATAGATCAAGGTAACTATGGGGAACTCCCTTACCGAAAATCTCTCCACCGCTAGCGTACTCCGTTACCAGATAGATCATCCTCTCCGTCTCCATCACCTAGAGATATAAACAAATGATAACAACCAGGACCCACAGACCCTGACAGGGATGGGCGGTTTCACCCATTACACAACACAATGAGTAAGCACAGTTTGCCATACACTGGGGAAGATTTAAATAGAAAAAAGCTGCCTTTAACTCAGTGCAGTTTTCAGTCTGTGTATCTGTGAGGATTTTAACATTACATTTTGAGTGACTCGATTATGTTTTAACTGCCAGGGGCCGTTTCAGACAAGATGCCATAAAGGACAGGCTTGTAACAAGTTTATTCGGTGTAAATGTGAAAAATCATGTTCACAGCTTAAACATAGAAACAGTATTTTTTTCTTCTAGGTTTATATTATATATATATATACAAATAAATCGCTGGAATTGCCAACAACTTGATAAAGTTAACCCATACAAAATGGTTGGTTACTTCACATCGTGCTAAATCAACACAATGTATTTGTGTCCTTTTCCTATTGGACCATGGTTCTCAGGTGGAACATGTGAGCTGAGTGCATTATCGCCTCTGTGGGTGAGTGTGGCTGTGTACCTGGTAGAGGCGGATGATGTGGGGGTGCTTCAGCAACTTCATGATTTGCACCTCTCTGAAAATCTTTTTCAGGTTCTCATCGTCCAGCTGGGTCTTATCCACTATTTTTATAGCCACCTGGAGACAGAGAGACAAGAAAAGGGATGCAGGGAGAGATAGGGGAGAAGGACAGAGGGGGAAGTGGTGAAGAGAGATGGTGAGATACAGGAGGAAACAGTGAGGGGAAGAGGTAGTATGGAAGCAAAAAGAGAGTGGAAGAGAGGTGGGAGACAAAACAAGAAAGATGTTGATCAGCTCTTGTGTTTTCAAAATAGAGGCAATACAACTTAATCCATTCACGTCAGACAGCGATTATGGGGGATGGGTCGCAGTGCCCTTGCAATATTGCTATGATGACAAAATCATAGAAGGGCAATGTGCCAAGAAAATAACCACTAAAGAGCTGAAGGGGGAATCAGACAGACTCAATTTAACATGACAACGCTTATGCCAGTAACTAACATGTAAAAACATAGAAACAGAGTTAAAAACAAGAGCAAGATGTTACGAGCAGATAATGGCAATTCTTAAGATGATGAAACTGTGTTGTTAACCAATGTGCTTGTTTGGGTAACCCGACCTGAACCCTGACCTTCAACTGCGAGCACGTCTGTTGCATAACAGCCGATCCCTGCACAATGGCTCCGGCAGGGTGGACAGTGATGCTGTGTGACAGGAGCTTTGCGCTGCCACTTAGGAATGGGTAGATTACTTTAATGACTCAATCAAGCAAAGCTAATGGGACGGCCCCAAAACACATCTTTGTCCAAAAATAGACGAGCGGGTACAGTGCGAGGCCGTGTGAAAAAATGAAAACTATGCGTCCTGTGTTGACACACACACACAGACACAAAAAGCACCTCATCTTTCCAATTATGTCGAGTGCCATCCTGAGCTCTCCCTTTCCTGATAACAGGCATGAAGAAGGTCAACTGAAGCCCGACAAGGGGTGACTTCCTGTTGCAGGCAGGAAAGGGATGTGAAGGAGAGCAAAGAGGGGCCTCCTGGGATAGGACAACACCACATCTTACAGTGGCATTGATCCAGATCAGAACGTGTCTAGCTTCCCTTCAAGGGCATTGTACAATTGGAGAACACATGTCTTATGGTAGTTTCATGGTAGTATTCATTAAAAAAATATAGTACTCCATCATGCAGGTTTCCATATCATTTTAATGGACTATTGGCCAGCCTTATGAAGTGATTAACCCACCAACGCTTTTAAAAAAAATTATTTGACGAATTGGTCAAACAAGTCATACATGAAGTCCCTGAGCATCACAACAAATACAGTTTTTTTAAACAACTCTTGCCATGTGTGTTTAAGCATGTATCTGATTGGAATGTGTGTTTATGTGGTATTTTAAGCTCTAGGAATCTAATCTTGGCTTTGGCAGTCATCCAGTTTTGTTGATGTAATCACGCCCCTCTGTATCTTCTGGAAGGTACAACAGGACATCTGGATCACACACTTTGACACCCAAATGTAGCCATCTGCACACACTGCTCATTTTAAGGACAATTAGTCCTTCTGAAACTTGGAAAGGACAATTGTACAGAAGCTAATGCAATGTCTTGATTCAAATACTTTCCTTAGTACACTGCCATGTCGTACACTGAAAACTTGCAACGTGAGATGTGTAACCCTCTAAAGAACTACAAATGTTGTCACCAAGCTAGAGGAATGCAGATGCTAAGTGGTAAGCTGTTTTCCACAAACAACCATGTGACCAGTGTACATCTCAAAGGTTGGGTTTCCAGCTTTAGCTCCAGCCAAGGTACAGTAAATATGTTGTGACTGAGAGCTTGTACTTTAGCGCCTCAGGGTGTTCAGTCTGCTTCCATGACTCTGGAATTTTCCATCAAAAAGATCTGGGTACACACACACACACACACTCCTGAGAGGCCGGCAGCAATCAGATGAAGTGTCACATAGCCCCAAAGATCACAAGACAGTGACCTCAACACAGCACCATCTCAGAGCAGCTGGTGGGCAGCGGAGGAGTCTGCACACTTTACTGTACCTTACACAACTCCCACTCAGTTCTTGCTTCACAGCACAGAGAAAAACCCGCAGCCGCTGTTGGCAACAAAAGGATCATTTCCAATAAAATATCTACTTCATACGAACTACTCGATATTTAAAGTAAAAAGTCAATATACATTCACACTATTTCAGTATAGAAATACTCTTTTACTAGTAGTGCTTCATTCTAAATTTACTTTTGTAAGATTACAAAATATTTAAAAAACAAACATAGGATACCAAGTACTATAGTGCCGTAAAAGTATTAATTCTGCTCAATTTCAGATCCATTTCAGACTAAAACAATTTATGTTGGTATTGTATTACACAAATATATCAAAGAAATATATTACATAAATATAATGTGTTCCATTACATTAATGTTGCAGCTGGCAGAGAAGGGGCTTTTTTATTTTAATTGACTGTATTTTTACAAAGAAACCTATAAAGCTTTAAACCTCACTTAAGGTAGTCAAGTGGCAAAATAATTCTCACGCCCCGCCTGATGTGTACTGATCAGATCACCTGTTTTGAGAACTTTAACACATGAAAAACAACAGCTTGTTGTTAGGAGTTTATACAAACATGTCCTCCTGTTGAACCAAATATAAGAAAGCACTGGCTGGCCAAGATACACAGTGCTGCCACAACACATGTACTGACCAGAGCAACAATGTATTTGTGAGAAAATGTAATTGCGCTACACACGTGCCCCCTATAAGGACGTGTGTGATAGGGAAGTCGGTACCACTTTACAATAAGACTACCCTTATAAAAGGAATTAGGTTGTAAACACTATTAATCCTTAAGAACCATTTATAAACCAGTTCTAACATACGTCAACACAGGCTCACTATTTGGCAAGATGACTAAGCCTTATATTGGCTACTTACGAGAATCAACTCAGTGAACAACAGATACCAAGGATCAGGGTCGGCTCCAGAACAAATCAAATGGGGGGGGCAATCATTTACCAAGGGGGGGCACACACTGCCGTCAACAACCAACACCAACGCAACTTCAATTTAAAAAAACATGCTGTAAAGTGTCTTTCACACACATTGCAGGGTGTAGTGCTATTGTATAGCGCACCTATGACTTGTGCATACATGCACGGTTGTGGCACGACCACCAAAACAGAAATATATGGACATAGGCCACCATATGAAAAGTGTGCAAATGTATTTGTATCCTATCCATGTGAACATGTTTTAGGTGGGGGGTGGACCTAACCTCCTCTAGGAGGGTCTGGGGGCATGCTCCCCCGGGAAGATTATTTTTAAAATATTGAAGTTAAATGCATCAATCTGGTGCACTTTGAGAGCAAAATGAAGAGATCTATGGATACATCTCTCAGCATCCATATGAAACAGAACTGTACACAGATTTACTTTTTCTTTATGGATATTTTACTAATCATTCCCCTTTTAAAACTGTATTCTTGTGTTACTGTCCTATAGTATTTCATACCCGTTTTTCATTTATTCTCTTATTCTTTAATAACTATAATGATCATATAAAGGTATTCCTCGCAAATACTTGTTTACATAAATGGTGACCAATCCGTTTGAGACCCACTGAGATAACCTACACTAAAGTGAACTATCTAAACACTGAGAGAGTCCTTACCTCACTGAGCTGAGGTTATACGATCCTCTCAGTCTGACAGGAGAGGACTCTCCTCCACCTTGGTGTAGAAACAGCTCTTTATATCCGTTAGCATAGCTAGCTAACCAGATGCTAACAACAACATTCCACGTTACCGCTCGCGCACTCACAAAATGCGATCGTGCCACACACACACAGAGCCGAGCTTGAATGAAACACAGAGACCCAGAAGTAGGCTACTTGTACTCTACTGTACATCATATTATTTTCGATGGCTTTACTGTATAATCAGTGTAACAGATCGCCACTGGGCTTTCATCTAAACACACAGCCACGTAATGATAACAAAACAAAGGTCGGGGGTCATTGGTCAAGCAACACACCAATCAGAGAGCAGCAGTGAGCACACCTCAGGCTGTGTTTTATATTTGTATTCTTTATTTCTGACGTATTTCACACAAAAAACCTTTAGTGGAAACGTTTTCACTGATATGATTAAAAAAAGAAAAACGGCAAAGTGGCAAGGCTTGCCCACCCTGCGTTGGGGGGGCACAGTGACTCATTTGGGGGGGCATGGCCCGCGAATGACCCCCCATGACGCCGACCCTGCCAAGGATGCTGGCTGATGAAGAAGACGAAGTAAGCCAAGTAGCCAATATAAGGCTTAGCAGTACAGATAAATGTGGGCTTACGATTTGGCAAGCAACCACTCACAGTTGCCCTGTTTATCTCATGTCTTAAAAGCTTATTACATTACATGTCATTTGTTAGACGCTTTTATCCACAGGAACACTTTGGGGTGAAGTGTCTTGCCCAGGGACGCAACGACATGCTGACTGCAGTGGGACTCGAACTTGCTACCCCCTGATTCATTATTCTTAATTTATAAAGTGTTCACAACATAATTAATAAATGAAAAACAAACTATTCGTAAACCCTTTATAAGAGTAGTCTTATTGTAAAGTGGTACCGGGAAATCTTATTGTCACCAAAGAGTTAAATAGTGTAAAAAAACATGATGCTAATTTCCAACTGTTTACATAGCAAACATCTGGCTTTTTCAATTTACGACTGAACCTAAGCCATTTGCTCGAGCACATAACATTCCCATGATTCTTGTTAGCAATCTTTCTCTCTGAAAAATAAATGTTTACATCTACTAAAATAACTATCACTCTAGTGGCCAAATTCACAAGATTGGAATTCTTTGATACATTTCTGACTGACTCCGGTCGAACTGGCAATTAGTAGAGGATAATGAAGTCTATTTCAAATTAACATCTTATTTAGAGCACCCTGCACTGATAAAGAAGGTTATTTAAAGAGTTTAAATGAAAGCTATAATGTCTAAAACTATACAGCATTAAAGTTAAAGATTTTATACATGATGTTCACAAAGCATTTGACAAATAAAGTATTTAGAGGTCCATGACTCAGCTATAAT